ATCGCAATAAAAGGCTCTTTCGGTGATGTGTCCCAATACGAACAAATTTATTGCGGCACTTGGCTGACGACGTAGACGGATGGACACATGCATAGACATACAAACATATGCAAACAAACTCTCCTTTTCGCTAATTTACTTCAAATTTGTGTTCAATTTCCTGTGCCAATCCAACAGCACTAAGCAATTATATCACCAAATACATAAATGGATATGCACATTAAGGCTTCATATTGAGCCCAGACTTACTCAGTCGGTCTGGTTCCGTAGATAGTCCTTGTTTATTATCCTAGTTCAAAAAATTTGTCAGTTTGGTTGAATTAAACAAGCTTAAATAATTTTAATGCGTGCGCCGTAATCAATATTTCTCATGAATTATCACCATTTAACAAATAGAGAAATTTCAAACTACTCAAAAAAACTTTAACGGACTGAAATTTCAGAGAGATAGCTGACAGTCTTCAAAAATTACCCCGAATTAAGAGTACTAAGAGTGCAACAAAATTTTTTTTGTAAGCTTAGACTTTTATTAATGCTAACTCGTTTAATCATCATGTCACGCCAAAAATGGTTGAAGGTAGGGATAAAGTAAGAAATTTAAAAGATATGAGATTGAGAGAAAAGTTGAGTGGTTATATTAGCACATTCATGAAGGGAATGATTGAGAAGAATGAATCACATGGGAAGCCTTTAATTTAACTTTTCTCATTAATTAATAAATGTTTATCACTCAAAAACTCAAAAAAAGCCACTTTAATATTGAAACCTAACTTCTTCTCTTCATTTAATGAATAGAATTTCTTCAAAGACGAAATTTAATATTTTGCAAATATCAAATTTTTAAACCACCTTGCGGAACTCATTAGAGCATTGTGAGCATTTAAAGATTTTCTCTTGTTTAACTATCATTTTCAATGCTAGATTTTGATTCAAGCTTATCTAACTGATTTATTTAAATCATGTTAATTTTTAAGATCTTTAGATCTAACAGACTTCGATTGAGGTGAGCTGTCTGAATAGCATAACAGTAAAATGTTTAATATAAGTATATCACCCTATCAATTGTTTCCAAGTGCTGCCAGAATACTTGCTTGATTCAATGATTGATGAAAAGATCAATAGATCTGTTCAGGAATTAATCTTCAAAAAGAAACCATTTGTTTACGGATTAGAGCTCTTTTCGTTTTTATCTTGGAATTAATTAAGCTACTGTTGTCGTTAAAAAACAAATGCTTGGCAGTAAGTTTCGAAAATCAAAAAATTATTTGGAGAAATAAGGAAATAGATGATAGATCTGGACAGGTAGATGGACTCAACAATGAACGAAATTCATTTTAAACATTTTAACACTAATAATTTTTTCTTTTCATTTCAAGTAATATCTTCTACTTCTCTTCCTTCATTTTATTCCGTATTCTTTAGAAGAAAAAAGTTCGTTCTTTAAAAAATTTTAAAAAAAGCAATCGAACAATTATGTTCGTACTCCCTATCTCTATTCAATTGCTAATAGTTCAAATTGCTTGACCTTGACTAGCATTGATGATTTAGATATCCGAAAATAAGTTAAATCATAATATATCCGAAAATCTCCTCGTAGTACTTTAACATTCTGAACTTTTTCCCATTGCAATACAGTGATTTGATCGGTACAATTTTATGAAAGTAATAACGCATGAAGGCTAGAAACAAATAAAAATCTCTGCATAAAATGCTTCTTTTTATTGAACGAGCTTTTCATTAATTATAAATTTGCAAGGACTAGAATTTTCAAAAAAATGTTAAATTTAAAGTAAAGGATACAGCAGAATGAAGAGTTTCTCATAGAGAATAAAATTACTGCTATTTTAATTAATTGTGCAAAAAACTGTGTCCTTATTTTAATAGTAACTGCTTACCCTATGCCTTTTTCTATCCCGCCCCCTATTTCTTCTCAACCTTCGTAACAATTAATTTTCCTCGTCTCTCTTTTTTAATTAAAATAAAAATTTTCCACTCTCCTATTTGATTTATTTTCTGCAGCGCCTATGCAAAATTAAGTGAAGGTAAGAGCGCTTTAGAACAGAGAGAATTTGGGAACAGCAATAATAATTCTTCTTATTGGCTAGTCTTGCTTGGCCAAAGAATGATCAATTTAAGAAATGAGCGATAATTAAATTTTCAAGCATTTATATTCCTTTTCCTTCTCTTTTTTTCCTATTTTAAAATGGTAAAATCAAACATCTGCAAAAGCTTCGTTCTCTCCTTGCATGGATTTCTTATGCTGATTATTTTAATCACTTAAAATTTTAACGGCAGAACCTTCTCTTTTGCTGATAGAAGGAAAGATATTAAGTTGCACTAAAGATACACAAGGATTCAGGATTTGAGCCAAGCATTCTATAGTAGTCTGTCTTCTTTATTTTGATTAATATATACAAGCAATTTTTCAATTTAAGATTAAATATGGAATTGAAATTCACTTTTATTGAGATGAAAAGCGAACGACATCAGCGATTTTTTTATTACCTTGTTAATGACTAATTACAAATATACTCTTGAAATCTGATGATTCCGGATTTTAAAGTGACACTTCATATTTTTGGAATTTTCAACTGTTTCAAAATTATGATTCTGAGGAACTGAATGCAGGAGTAAGACAAACATTACCTATCTAGGATATACAATCTAATCTTAATGTTCAAAATCATGCAAATTACAAGTAGCTGACTGGGAAATTTTCCACCAAATTTGTGAACCATCAGCAAATCAGGCTGTTTTCTGCTCTCACTTAATAAATTTAATATGAAATTTGGATGTAAATTTGGGACAAATTCAATCTTTACATAATTGACATTCCAAGAAAATAAAGCGTCACCTGGATTTTGAGTCCGATAAAATTTGAACAATTTCTATCTGTATATCTCATATCGACGAAGTAACAAGATCTGCTGAACAGCGCTATCAGAAGCTAATCCGACAAAAGGTCAGGAATAATGGACACCAATCAGTAAACTATTTGGAGTGTTTGTTTGACACCGTTAGCCACTTTGAAAGCAGCAAAAGAAATTCTGCACAAAAAAGATTACGAGAAAAGACTTCGGCACACCCTCAAACAAAATGTATTAGTTCATTCAATTCATTGGTTTGTTGAAGTGTGAATTGCTTGCAGTGCCACTGCTACTGGTGAATTGTTAACAGGTTAGCAGCGAAAAACGCATTGAAAATGCAGAAATTAATTCGCCTAAAATGCAAAATTATTATCCAGTAATGGAGGACTGAAATAGTGGTGCCACTGGTAGCTCTGAATTGCAAACACAGAAGAAAAAGAGAAAGTTAGTGATGGAGTAAAGGGATATCTAAAAGCGGAGACGAGGAGACACTGAAACAAACACTACAACTGCAACAGCAGCTCTGCCTTGTACTTCTAATTAAGAATCCACCTCACTGCAATGACTATCGCTTCGAATGCAACGCACCAGCAAGTTTAAAAAAACAAGAGTGAAGGTAAGTAATGATACTGCTATATGAACGAGTTTACTTGCTTCTCATGCTGTCTATACTGCGCTACTGCATGCACAATTTGCACTGCTTCATATCTCGCTCCCTGCAGCATTAATACAGTAGATAAACGAAACACCGGATATTTTGCTGCTAGAAAAAGAGGATTTTATTGAATTCAACAAGGCACAATCTAACATTTAATCAGCACTAGCATGAAACTCCACTCGCAACAATATAAATTTCAATCAGTACAAAAGAATTTCGTTTCCTTTTATATGAAAACAAGCATACATTGTCCGCTGCAGAATGATCATTTGAACATCGCATGATTAGCATTAAAATTACACATGATTATTATTTCCTATGGTCAGCACCAACAGCTTCAGATATATTGCGAAAACCATCCCGAGCAAGACATTCCAACAGTTCTCGTTTTATTCGTCCTATAATTGGAAAACCTGAAAATAAGCATCCATTAAAACAATAGTCTGAATTTCTCTGGAATTTTAAGAAATGCTTTAATAAAATTAAAATCTGTAACTTTCATTAATCAACATGGACATGCGGGAATCCTTTTAACAATTGCGTGTGTAATATTCCCATAAACTACCTTTCAAAATAATCTAATCACCGAAACAATATTGTAACCTCTACAACTTTTTACTACATTAAAGAAAGAAAATCATGGGCTGAAAAGAATAGCGTGAAGTGGGAAAACGGGACTGAAAGGAAGAAATCGGAAGAGCATGAAAGTCAAAACTAATTTTTTCTTGTTTTCTCAGTTACGCCTCATATATTACGCCCATGTATTAAAATTGGCTGCAAATTAAAATAACGCTGCACACAAACGCTACCGACAATATATATACCGCAGCTATGATACATCGATATTTTTTTTCAAATGTATTCATGAGTTTCATTATACATTGAATTCCCATCACTCCAGTATTTTTTTTTAATTTTTTGAGCTTTTAGACGCTTTCCCAAGCGTTAAAAGTAACAATTAAAATTATGCTGAATATGACTAGAAAGAAGTCATGAGCGTAAAAAAACCTATACCTGAAAAAATTTCAAAAAAATTTGCTAAATATAAAAATTAAACGCGGGAAAGGAACTTGATATAATCTATAAAAGCTATCATTGAAGAAATGATGATATCCCAAGTGCCTAAATGTCACTTTATATCATCATAATTTCGTTTTTGTGGTGGATGCTTCACCAGTTAAGAACTGGAAAAAGCATTATTAGGAAAATATCGAAGCAAACTTTTTCTTGAAATCAAATATCAAACAGCAATGAAACGCACTAACAGGTCACTAAATTCAATAAAAAAGGTTTGCCGCAACAAACAACAAGTGCATTCAAACTCTTCATAGTGAAATTTGTATCTGAAAAATAACTAAACAACTACACCGCAAAAAACAGCTAACTGCGGCAATAAAATACCCAGTAATTTAGATATTTTATATATATGAAATATCTAAATAAAAGTATATTGGTATCTGGAAAGCAATATATTATTAATAATATTTCCCACTACCACCAAGTACAACAGACCGGACAAATACCGCAGAATGTAAATTGTGTCTTAAAAATGAAATTAGGCATGGTTTAAAACATCCATAGATTTATATCTTATCTTGATAAAGAAGTGATGAATAAAGCTGCAATAGACTTGCACCAGCTCGAATTTTCTCATATGCATCTTCGCCAGATGATATACCTCCGCATCCAATGATTGGGATTTTACCATGTGATAAACTAAATCAATTAAAAAATCTCATTCTGTAGCATATTTGTCATGGTACACTAAAGTAAGAGTTTTAACAACTTCTAAGAAATCATACAAATTAAAAAACATTGCTGAATTAAACGAAGGTACACTGACTTTTTATAGTTTGCTTTCAATAAACGCAAGTATTCAAAAGATAATTTAGAGGTCGCACCTCAATGAAACTAATTTCAATGTTAAAAAATTTTCAAATACCTGTAAACATTACGTATGCAATTTGTACTTATATCTCGTAGTGGCTTGCCGCTCAAAAAACCATTTTCTAGTACCACAGTATGAAGATTTTCCGGATAGCTGGTAGTAGAATTCGAAATTATCATTCCATCTACACTATATCGTTTGTTTAGCGCTATCTTCAAACTATTATTTTATTGACAGAAAGAGTTGTGCAAAGCGAAATAAAAAATATCCTGTAGACAGAATACAAAGACTTGCCATTTGGGAGAGCCAAATCACCAATTGAAGTTAAGCCAAAAAAACAAACCTTGATAATTTTTTTCAAATCTACGATGGACAAATCAGGTGGGATTTTGATTAGAATTTTAGGCGGAGGTTCACCAGCCCGTACTATTTGATTAATAGCGGAACTAACGCCTTGTAATGCCTAAAATATGTAATTATTAATGGGAAAAATTATGAAGTGCTAAAACAAGAAGCAAATATACTGACAATATCCATATCGCTGATTGTCTCTAGGCCAGATTGACCACCAAAATTCACAACCAAATAATTACTAAAAGGGGCAAAATGATAAGCACCAAGGCTGTAATCCGCTTTAAGCCCGTCAAATCTCTGAAAAAAAAGTTTTAAGAAGTTCCATTCAATAAAAATGAGGATTACTTGCAAAGAAAAATGTTCAAATTTAAGATACATGACTGCAAGCTTATCGTTTATCTTACATTTTGGCATTGCATATGTTACTAATAAAACTAACTCGCATAACTTAAACGGATGGTTACAAATCTAATATAACTCCATGAATTCAATGCAAAGAGGAGGAATGTATTAACAAAAATCAAATACTGTTTTTTATTTTTTACAGATATAAAAATGCTATCAACAGAGATTTATTCGTGAAATGACATCCAAAATTAACCAATAAATAAAAGATACAAAATTGGTCAATCTCTTTGTTAAATATATTTAAAATAATTTCAGGAAAATGTATAATCAAAAAATAACAAACTGTATTTCTGCCAATATTTACACCCAGTGGGACATCAGAATTCCGTTCGTAAGCTTTTTTAACAAATAAATATACAGTATCCAATCCTGCACTTTTAAATTTACCGCGACTTACGTATCCCTGAAATATACACAGAAATAAAATTTTATTCAGGAATTTTAGAAGACATAAAATTATTAGACAGTAACTGGATTTTTCGAAGTCGGAAATGTCTCGTTATTTACTAGAAAAAAAGGCATATTTTATATGAAGAAATCATGTAGTCATATCAATAATTATAACAGAATTTGAAGTTCCTACTTTTAATTGATGCTACTGAATATTAAAAATTCCACTAATCTTAAATCAAGCCACAATGAACCGAAATGTGAAATGGAATTTGCAAGAGAAAATATATTATTCTTCATTAAATATCTGTTAACGCTTAAAATTATTGTTAAAGAATGATAAATTTTAGACATTTATTATTCCACATTTTCTCTGCAAAAAGTGTGGAATTATAATGTCTAAAATTTGTCATTTTTGCAGAATTTTTTTTTTACTTTACAGAATTTCTCTGGTCAAAATAAAATTAAAGAAACTCACTTCATCTCGAAATAAAGGTTTAACCACAAAGTCAGAATCATCTTTTTGTGGTAACGGTGTTACCGTGCCTACTTCAATAAAACCAAAACCACTTTTTCGCAAACCTTTTATTGCTTCAGCGTCTAAAAAAGAAACTAAAATAATGGGTTCATAACTCCAAACAAGAAAACTTACAGATCTGAGTAAGATAAAGATATTTTGAAGTTAATGCTTCCATTAAAAAAATGTTAAGGTATTCCAGTTATATCATTTGCAGAATAGGCGAATCTATAACACTGTGATTATGGGTCCTTCATAAAAGCGTCTGAAGAATCAAAATTCGAAACGTTTTACCTTTATCAAAGCCAGCAGCTAATCCAATCGGATTCCTGAAGTGCATATTCATTACATCACAATTAAGCTCCGGATACTCCCGATAACTGTGACTGAATAGCGGTAATAGACGATATTTTGCCAAATAAATATTGAACTGCGCCGTCAACTCTGGTCTTCGTATGCAATTCAGTAGTGGAATAAGCTAAAATTTCGAATTCTAACCATAAAATTTCAATGCTTCATTGTTGTTTTCATTTTGAAAGCGGAAGAAAACAAAACTGAGGCAAAGGATAAAAAACTCTTTATAATCTTCAAGATTTTAGAAAAACTTTATTTATCAAAATTTAAATTCAAGATCGAAAATACTTACTTGTTTTCGCTGAAAGACTTCATTTCCTGTGATGTATTCGATAAGTCCATATAACAGCGTGGAAGATGATAAAATAATGGTAGTTGATTTCGTTATATATCTTAAATCTAACATTGGAAGTTGTTAATTCGCAGTCTCTTTTAAAATGAAATCTTGGCGACTATTGCGGAATATAGTTTAACAGCTCTAAGATATATTATAAAGCACTCACCCTGGAGGTAATTTTGAATACATTCCACTCCTAATTAAATTTCTGCTGGATTCTTTCTAAATCGCCAATAAAGTGTTTCAACTACAAATAGAAATTTGGATTCATTAGCAAAAGGAGGCTCATTATTTCACCATTTATCTTTATAAACTTTAGACGATAATTTTAAGACACTATCAACTTAAGCAAAATTTTGTATTTTTTTGAAAATGAAACGGGAAATATGGACTAATTTAGCATTGTACTACTTAATATTATTCACAAAATTTAAGCGCTTATCACGAACTTCAGAAAAATTTTATTACTTCTTCCTCAGTAAATTCGTACGTCTTGGTGGAACCTTCAATAAAATGTAACGTAAGCACAACTATAGGTTTAAGATTCTCCAAGGCTGTATCGCAATCACCGGCCAACTAAAAATTACACTGGTCCACATAATTTGAAAAATATATCACTTAATTAAAACCAATTTTAATAAAAAGGCCTAATATTTGAAATCAATTATAATAACTCAATTCCTGTTGGCCAAAATTTTGAAACCATTAAGACAATCAACTCACAAAGCCCAGAAAATCTGTAATGCTCTGTCGGTCAGGAATACATACATGTAGGAAAGACCGTAATTACAGATCACTGCTTATTCGTTAAACAAAAGAAAAACTCTTCTTAGCATATCAAAATATACTGTTCTTAAGCTTCAACAAATTACAACACTTCACTGAAAGGAAATCACCAAATGTATATCAAACTTCAAATTCACTTTAGCACTCCAACTGAAATCGCGCAAAACTTTCACACCACTTTGTTGAAAACCAGTTGCGTAATACGTTGCAAAGAAACGATTCATTAAAAACAACACTGCGAAAACCGTGTGCAAATCGCTGACAACGTAAATATTATAAGTTTCGAATCGAGTGATATCATATAGAGCTAAAAAAAATCAGCTGAAGCTTTCAATATTCACTTATTTTTTACAATACTCATTATAGGTAAGTTTTTTATTGTAGGCATAAAAATTTTATTCGTAAGCAAATATGGCGCTGTTGAATACCATTCATAAATCAAAATGCAACGCTATTAAACTGTTTAATTAGAGCTAAATGAAACAATTTTTGCATTAAATCAATTAACCACTGAGTTAAATACACCTTTCGCCAATTAAAATCTTCATTAGCAAGTCTTAGCTAATGCAAAATAGATGGAAATTTCTGCTAACACAATGCACGCAAAAAAACATGGATAGTGTTGACATATGTAATATACAAATGTCGATATTTTAACAATATTTAAACTGTTCGAAACACTTCAAGTTTGGAAATATTTTTATAGATTTATAGAAGTATAACACATACTAAGTCGTCAAATACAGATAATTTACCTCAATATAAAACGAATAAGGCGAATTTAAAAAGATTATATATATAAAAAGAAAAAAACAACCAATGACAGAATATTCGTCCAACAAAATATTCATCCAACAAAAAAGCATATTCAACTAGTAAAATCTTTTCGACGGACATACTTTTTAAAACAGCAATAAACTAGCACTTTAAAATAAAGACACTTGACTTTTCGAAAAATTAGCAACAATTTTGCAAAAAGAAGTAAAGTTATACAATTTATATAAAATATTACAAAACAAATAAATATTATACATTATTATGAAATATTATGATTAAATGGTAGATCTATATTTTAAGTTCGAAGGAAATTATTACAGAGTGTTAAAATAACAAGTATATCTAACAGTCATGAAAATTAAAGAAACACATATGCTAACAAAGTCTTGAAAAGTTTTGGTAAAATGTTGGAAAGCATAGAACAACATATAAAATTTAAGCTTTCTATAACAGGTTAGCAAATTCATAAATAAAGTCAATTGTCAAAAGCATCTGAACTATACGCATAAGTTGCTCGCTTCATCGATATCATGATGAAATGTTTCCATGTGATTAGAATGAAGCATCACGATGAATTTCTTATCATAACTTTTCAATCCATTTTTCATTTTCCTTTCCATGGTGTCCATGCCAATTTCGTACGAAAATTTCTTTTATTCAGATGAAACAGCATTTCGACTTCTGTATCACTGATTTTTTTACAGCAGAATAAAGCTCAGATTCACACAACCAAAAATATATAATTTCATAGAATCACCACTGCCCGACAAATTAAAAAATCAAAAGAGTGAATAATAGAAACAGATGACTATTGGTTCAATTGTATTCGAACAATATTCGACAACTTTCGGTAATCCCGTGAGCAGCAACCAGTTCGCTTTGGAGGAGCATGTAAATCAACTTCACGTCCGAAGTATTTTATCAACCGAGGATGCAACCTAACAGAAATATACATGTATAAGGAAAATAAAAATGGGAATTCATTTTTGGAGATAATATTATAATTGTAAATTTTCGAAAAAAAATGTACCTGAACTGGAATGTAGCATCTTTTGGTTGTGGCAGTATTTCTGAAAATTAAAATAATTTGACAAATTTCGGGTGAAATAAGGAAAAATAATTTTTAGCATTAAGTGCTCTATTTTTTCCTGTCTAGATCTCAGTTCTTTATCTATGTTGATGTCTAATATGGAAAACATGCAAATGAAGAACTAGAACGGTACAATGCATAACATTTGATGCTGTGATAAAAACGAGGAATTTCTATAAGTTTCTAAAAGAATTTAAGAACAAACGTAAACTTTTAAACTTAAATTCAAAGTAAACGCCAATTTGTTACTCTAATCTGTACTTTTACATTGGAATGTTTACAGTTAATAAAAGAAAACAGAGAAAAGAATAAATAAAAAAAGACTTATTTCAAATTTACAAAAAATAATAACACAAACAGATAGCCAGAATTTAATCCATAAATCTTTAAAGAACAAAGAATCATCTTAACATAAATATCATTAACATGAAGAAAATTGAAAGCTGAAGAACCAACCTCCATCCAAATTCCACGAGCCCTGAGCATTAGTCGAATCAAAGGATTCATTAGTATTCACATGTTCAAGTAAAGAAGCAGGGGTAAATGCCCACCGACTAACTCGGAAAACATTTAACTTATTGCCCATTGATAAAACACTTTTAGGACCATTCATTGCAACTTTTCGAATGAATGACAAATTGGAGCACCGTGAAATTCGTGGAATCAGAGCTAGATCCATACTTCCATCACCAATGCCAGTAAACGGAGCTAGTCCATACGGTGTAAATGGACTAACACATGGCACCACGCAACATATAATATGGCAAAATTCAGTTTGTAAATGAAATGGATAATTCTTATCAGCTTCGACATTTCTGAAAAAAAATTGTTAAATCATGATATCACTAAGGTTATTTCAAAATAGGATTTTGCAGACTACATTTTGTACTTATATTTATCGGTAAAGCAGTTACTATAAAAAAGAAATTAGTAAGAATTATAAAGAGCCGTTAAAAATTCCTATCGAAGTTACTTACATATGCATTCTGATTTTTAATTTTATATAACGAAATATTCTTCCAATTATACGAAGATAGTATATAAGCTTAGCTTATATTCCATCGCATAACTGCGTAAAGATAGCTCTACTTAAACAATGAGACAAAAGGCCAACGGAAGATTTATGAAGTGAAATACGTAAGTTAAATTAAATAATAAATATAAATGTTGTTAAGCTTTTTTTATTTTACATCTATTTTTGAAAATTTGTTAGTTTTTCTACAATTTAAAAATTACTTGTTACAAATGGAGCATGGATTAGTGCATTTCGGCAAAAGACTTAAATCATTCTTTTCAGCGGCTTCTGGGATTAAGCTAAACGATACACGACCAAAATAAGCAGGATTACGGACTGTTGTTCGTAAGGCTAAAATATACCATATGATGTGAAACAGTAACATATTTAAAAAATATTAAATGATGAGAGAATAAAATTCAATCTGATCAAATTTAAAATATACCGGAATATTGGTATCTTAAAGGTCCCATCCATCTGTATCGCTCAGAATCAGCTAATACATCACCAAGCCAACCATATGAGACTGCATTTGCAGATATTCGCATAAGATCATCGCCTCTGTGAACCGTACACACATCTACCGAACACGTACTACCTAACACAGATTGAGGAATACAAATCCAGTCTTTGATATTAGAAAGTTTTCTAGTTTTTCTTAAAATCTTGATTCTTAATTTTCGTTTTTATAGCAAAACGCATTTAAATTTAGATGAAAAAAACAAACTTTTGCAATAAAAATCAAAACAATCTTTTTGCTTTACTTCAGAAAGGAACTCTCTAAAAGTTACCAAGCGCGATGTGTATAGCAGCAGTTGGGCAATCATCAGTGCCATGAACGGAAGAAACAATGGAATTTGCAGAACCAGCACCAATTATACCAAAACGCATTCGTGGCGTCTTTAGGACATCAATGTTAACATCAGATATATCTTTTCCTATTTCTTCCTGTGTCCTAAAAATTTCAAAAATATTAATTGTAATTCGGAAAATTAGATACAGCGGACAACTGGTATCTAATAAAAAGTGAGAATCGGAAAAATCTCATTCCATCTTCAGTAAGTACACTTTTAAGTGCACTGTATCTGAACTTGAAGAAAAGTGCAAAATGTTCAAAGAAAGGAATATGTTAAGTCCATATAAATGAATAAATAGAAACAGATGAATTCGCTTAAATGAATAAAAATATAAAGATGCAATATGAATCACAAAAACTCAAATTTGCTCATAAAAAAATAGCAAATCTGGTTCAAAACATGCATTATGAAATGGGAAAGTTCTACTAAAATAATTTTAATTTACTTAAAACTTGATTCAACAAGTATTCTTATGATAATAAGTTTTATCAAGAAATAAATATGAATTTTTGCTATTTCTTTAAAAAGATAGAAAAATTGTGCTTCCTACTAAAATTATTATGGTGAAGTTAGCTATTTGTAAGGTAACTGCACTACCATAGAGATAATATTCAGAGATTGGTACATAAAATAGGCCTGAACAGCTATCTTATATACAGAGATTTGTTTTTGAAATTACAGGAATACCTGCAAACAATAGCAGAGAGACATTCATTGAAGAGACCATCACCACCCACCGAAACAACACCATCAATCTTTTCCCATTGTGAACAATCAAGTTGTTTAAGGTAATCAAAAGCATGATTTGCACGCTGTGTCATTACTACATCGCACTGAATATCAGCCATTTCCAAAATTTTGGCTACCTGAAGTCCTTCATGTTAAATTCGTTTTATTGTATGTAATAAATACATTTCAAAACTTCAACTCACACTATTGAATGCTAAATCTTAGACAGTAGTAATATAGTCAAAGGTAGAGAAAAAATGAAATACTAGATAGCAAAGCAATTTCAAAAATTTAAACCAATTCGTCCATTGAAAGGCAATATTTTCTTTTAAAAAGCAGTGACTGCAACAAAAAAACAAAGAGAATTTACAAACAATAATGATCTCATATCTGCACAACATGTTTTTTTGGAGACAAAATCAAATAAATCCCACCTGATCTGAATAAATTTTTTTGGCTTTACCTTTGCCACCAAATGGATTTACAAATATCAACAATGTTTTTGGCCTTTGCTCCAATTCTAAAATACTAAGAAAACAAGCTCTCTTGGATTTAAAATAAAAGTAAACAAAAATTTCTTAGAAAATATTGAAAAAAGCTTTTTATTCATTTGCTCTAGAATTTATTAAACATCTGGAGTTTAGTCACTTTCAAAATGAAGTACCAGTAACGAATATTACGTATTCAAGTTATAGTTTCAACGTTATATATTACATACCATGAAGAGAAGAATCCAAAACATCCAACCACAACTTTTTATCAGTGGTGGTAGTAAATAGAGCGGTAACTGTACGGATACGCCAGTGACGTTTTCTTCTTTTTTCAGCAAAATAAAAGTATAAATGATTTGGAGTGTCGACTTGTTTCGCATTCTACAATAATTTGAAATCTGCGTGAATTGTAAGTCTACTTTGCTTACATAAATTCTACAATTAGTATCACAGATACAACAATGATTTGTCCGATATTCCAAAACATCTTCCTCTGAGAAACTGGATCATGATAAATTGAACTTATTTGAAATTCCTTGTCCACAACATATTACCGTATGATTATGAAATTCTGAGTCCATTTCATTTTTTTTTGATCCGAAAATGTGAATTTTTTTGTTCGAAATTCAGAGAAAGAGTTGCCAGTCAGTAATAAGTCGTAGTATATAAACATTAGAATCAATACGAAGATTAAATAAAATATCTTTTCGAAATCGATGAGATATTATTAATAATACTGATTTTAATTGCGAGAAAACGCATGAGTGAAAAGCATAAAATAGAATATTCAATTCCAGATGAAATGGATATTCTGAAATTCATCAATTATTCTGTAGTAACAGTACCATGAAAGCAGTGCTTACTTTATTCAAATCGGACGGCAGTCCCCGTCTCATAGTAATTGGCGTGCCCCGTACACAAATTAATTCATTTAAATCCTTCGACATACTTTGCTGTTTCTCTTCATCACCTCTTAAAATTGGTTTAAGTATCATATTTCGTGACAATTTATTCGCATTTTCTGCATTCTAATAATCTTCTAACATAAGTTCAACTGCTGAGAAAGCAGGGTACAATCAAATATTTAAATATACAGTATGGTTTAAATAAAATTCAGATCAAACTCACCCAGTTATTGTGAATTTGATGATTTTTCGAGAGCGATCGAGTACCATGCGGTGATATTTCCCGTCTGTAGAACGGATATCCGCAACCATTAATGTGCCAGTTGACCCATTCGTCGCATTATTACCACCTTTTGAGAGTTCTTTCTTCAACATTGTTCTAGAACACCTGCAAATGAATGCATATCATAAATGTTCCAGATTTTCGGATAAATATTCCATTTATTGAATTTCTCTCGTGAAGTTACAAATTAAAAGTAGAAAGCATTCACGATAAATGCAAACAGTATCTTCTCTTCAGCTCCTGAACCCGGACAATTAATAAGAGGAAGAGATAGGATACTGAAAATATTTTATAATATGGTCAATAACAACATGGATATGAAGAAATTAGCATGGAATAATCTCATTACCTTTTCTTCTCTGTTCCTTAACAAGTCCTTTTTCAATATCCAGTTTCTTTTTTTTATTGCTTGATCTGGACTATTGTCCACTCCACCGACATCCGCACTTCCAGCAGCAATGTCCTCGTCGGTTCTCTCTGAAAAAAAGACAGAAATTAGTGAGGAAGACGCTGATATCACAGAGGGAATGAACAGAGGAGTGGAAGAGACAGGAGAGAGGAAAACAAACCGTTACGTACGGGGTGCTCTCTTTCCGATCGATTTATTCATCACATTACACAGAACAGAATCTCGTATTGAACTGGACTGAACTACGCCTACGATAGAACTTCCCTTGTCATATTATTTCCCTAACCTTCAAAATTCATTGTACTTATAGTCCATATTCTTAGGTTAACAAATGTCATCATCCCACTCATAAGCTAGTAGATTACTCTGCGCACAATATCTCTTGTACCATTTTACTACTTTCAAAACAGTATACTTCAAGTCTCTCTCCCGAGAGACTACAAAATATAATGTTGCCAGTGTAAAAGTATGACAGTTTCAAACTGCAAAATTGCAGTTGTGGCAATGCCATTGAAGATAAATTATTAGGGAAGTACCTATCATTCTCCTAAACAGACATTCACTTCAAAATTCCATCATCACATTGATGAAAAAATGATTAAAAAATGGATGAGGCGTGTTTCGTTTAAATATGATGAAAAGATGAAAGGGAAGTGGAATAAGGTCAATTACTTGGTAGTTCACGAATCCATTATTGAATTGTATTGATTGATATGCTAACGAACCGACGAACTTTGTACATGTTAGATACAATACATTTATGAGTTAGTTAGTAATTAGACTGCTAATTGTCTCTCCAAGAACAACCTGCACTAGTAATCATCTAGTATTATAACATTTGGGGATCATCTTAGTCGGTCAACAAATGGTGTTCTCGAGGATATTTATTGCGAACCATTCAAATCACTCCTCTCATACCGCAGTGAGAAAGGAAGGACGTGCTGGAGATAGGATGATTCATTCAAAAGCTGCGTAAATCAAATTCTTTTCATCATTTGTTTTCTTCAGGCATATGTTTATGGAACAGGAATTTTCTGTTTCCAAATCCTCTAATCATTTAAAAACTATCCGACACAATCTAAGAAGTAACGTTCCCGATGGAATTTCATTTTATGGAACTATTCAAGATCTAAGTATCCTTCTATGAAAGCATTTCATTCGTAATAATCTTTAGGGGGCTCTCATACGAGTTCTATTCTTAAATTTCATAAGGAATCTAACAGTTAATTAAGTCCCTCCTCATCCTCACAAATGCCGATAAGATTCAAAATTGCTACTGTTGACTTCGAAATTGAACAGAGGTTTTAAAAAGTGAAACGAACTCCTGTTCCGCATGATATATGAAGATGCTTTGAACTTTATGTTTATGATGAATACGGAATGGATGGTTAATTGTTTGAATTGTCAAAAAAGTACACCGAAAAAAAGGATGTAATTAATTCCGAACTGCTTCCTAAATTCAAAGACAGGATACAAAACAAATTTATCAAAATCCCACATAATCCTCTTTTGCTTTTTTGTCCACCACAGAATTGAACATAATACGATTCAAAGTTACTATATTGCACAAATTCCTTTATTGTGCATACTGCAAATTTATTTAAAAATTTTAAACCAAAATAAATTAGATGATATTTGTATTTCAAAACATTAATTCCCAGCAACTAACAATCATCTCATTCGATTTCAGAGTTAATGCGTTCATGTAAAACCAATCACTGTTCAAATTTTCGAAATCTTGATCACAACACTGAAATAATCATCGAAAGGAATAAATGATTCCATTATACCCATCATAAATGAAAGAGAAAAAATATTCGATAGTTCTTAGAGGAAAGTCAGTCTATAAAGGAAGGATTTTTCGACACGTACGTCAACTGAACAATCATTCAACATTCTTTTTTGTTCTTTTTTCATTCTTTTTTGGATTTTGTTTGCCACACGTTGGTCTTCAATTAACGCGTTGTAACAAATACTTTCGAACAAAACAGAATTATCTTATGATCATTTAATGATAATCGGAGATTTTTCAAACAATTTTTATTTGACTTCATAATTTCAATCTTTTCAGTGATGAACTGATATATGAATCCAACAATAACTTCTGCCCCAAACTAAATGAAGGAATAATGATAACAAATTAGCAATGACGTCGCATTTGTCTCATCAGATTGCATATCGGCCCTCCGCATTTCACACCGCCGTGTTTTCTAACCTGAAAGGGATCATCGTGGTTTTCATTAGTTGTGTAGAGACGTGGGTGCGTGATGTGTATAATTCGGACATCACGTAGATCGCGTTTTTTGTTTGCTTACGTTTGCAAACGACAGGTAGCATTGCATGCCGTGTAATTTAGTTTTTGAGAGAGGCCTCAACTAACTGTTCGCTTGCATTTGAGAACCGCATCCTCATCAAGAGCTGAATCTATTAACTCTTTTGTTTCAATTTCTTCACTCACTTATTTAGAGAAATCTCTAGTAATCTTTTCAAATGTGTTAGCTTGCTGTATATATTTTGGAAGGCTTTTCTCTGGCACACACTAGAAATCATGAATGTTCGATTTTTCAAAACATCGGAGTTTCAGAGGAAGAAAACAATTTATAATCTTATCTCAGTTGAGTTTCCACCTGATGGTAAATACAGTATATGTGATCCTTCTTAAGATGATGAGCCATGAAAATATTTTATTTTATCTTATGATAATGCTGTGTTTTAGATGGAAGAAGCAGAAGTAAAAGCAACGATGGAACAAGCTCTTTCAATTTTTGAAAGACTTTCATTGAAAGCAGGTGACAGTGAAGATTCCGAAGATAATGGGAACAACAAAATACTAAGGAAGTCATCTAAAACTATTTGCTTTTCGCAGCAACCATCGACAGCATCAAGCTACACTGCCCGTCTTACCAAAGAGTAGGTTTCTGAGTTTGGTCCTTACTTTTTACCACTTCCAAGTCTAGATCATTCGACATAAATTGAGAATTTATAAGTTTTTTGAAGTTTATTTGAATTCTTCATTCCATTTGTCATCCACAAAAAATTCGAAGAAACTGAAGAATTATGTGACGCTTTTCATTAGTTGAAGTGAAAATAGGTTCAAAGAGTTCGCAACCATAAGCTGAAAGAATCAGCGCAAATTTTGTCCAAATTTGTTTCCGTTACATTAGAGTCGATTAATTTTCATTACATTAAAGTCGGGTAATGTCGGACTGTTGAAATTACTCCTGCATGAAGTACTTTTAGGAGGGCAGGAGTAAGTTGCCATATCCCCTTCCTTCTTTCTTCTGCTTTTATGTCATGCCCCTCTGAAGACGTTTATATTTGTGGAAAAAGTTTATCTTTTTGTTTTATTAACTATAGATTATACGATCATAATCATTTCTTAGTGATTTTGGGCAGCTTATGAGTAGCATTGTATTTTCAAGGGTTGAATTTACTCTGTCTTATTGTTTAAATCATAAAGCTTTATGTTTTCTAGTCGTACTCGACATCGTTACAAGCCATATTTATTACCTTTAATGATCAAAACAACCGACACACTTAAACGCAATTCTGTCTTGGAAAAGCTTTGGGGCATTAAATTAGAAGGTGATGTCGACGAGCTACGGTTGACATTCGCAAAACAACCATCCATTATGGAAAGGTAGGTTTCTGTTCATTTATGTGCAAAGTTGCTTATTTTGTTTTTAAAAGTATTTGAGATTTATATAAATTAAAGTAAAAAGAAAGGTTTAATTTGAAGCGAAATTTTTTATGGAAATGAATACAAAACAAGATTTTTTGATTTTCTCCTGGGTTTTATTGGCGTCTTACATGGCATGCTCTGTTACTTAACGCTTTGAAATCTTATAAAAATTTTAACTGTTTTTGTTGGAAAAAATTAAAATCACAATTTTGCTTTGGAATCAAAATAAATCTTCATGCTTTTTACTTACATAACAGAGCATCGTACGTAAGATTAGAATGATTTTTACAAAATTGTATGTAATACATGTATTATTTACGATATATTCCAATTTATTCAGGAGTAAGAATTCAAGCTGCGCAGTGGAAGCATCACGTTATTCACCGTGGGATTTAGCGGACGAAGGTGTGGATGGCGAAGTTGCGGAACTAGCGGAATATTTTAACCAATTTGTTAATATTTGCTTAAAAATGTCAGCTCTAGCTGAAAGCATGTATGCATGAAATTGCGTGTTAGTGCTAATTAATGAGTTTAATGTGCTCATCGAAAAATGCTCAGGATAGTCATAACATTTTTTATTAGTTTTCAACGAATCTTCACGTTGCCGAGAAATTTCGCATTTAATGGAGTTTGCATTATATATTCATTATTAAGTCATTTATTTTCAGTGGAACTCATAGTTCTTTCACTTGATTTCTTTAGCTTGCGTGTATAGGTAGTTCATATGTACGAGGTCACGAAGGCAAACAGGAATTTATGAAAAGATAAATGGTTCACCTGGTATTTTGATTCATTTTTTGTTATAACTTTAAAAATTTGGTGCGCTATTACTGAAAGATAACTGTTTTTGTTGTTCACTAAATTATTAACTGCATGTATCCATAACTAGATGTATCCAGAGGACAAAAGTGTCGCAGATCACATTGTGATCGTTTTCTGGTTCCTTTTTTTTAGCTGATATTGATATAATTAATGCATGTTGCGTATTTGTACATTTTAAATTTGATATCCTGCAATAAAACAAAATAATTTTACATTGTCACACTACTATATGCTTTCAGCATATTTCAGTCCGTTGTCTTGAAAGAATGAGATTTAGATCCCACTGCTGTAAATTACGAAAATGTCTTAAATGCAGTGTAATTGTTTACTATCCTTATGGTTCCACTGAATATTATATCTGGTGTACTGCTGAAATAACATATCTGCTGACGATCGTTTCCGGTGGTCTAACGTAATCATCCTGAATTAAAAAAATAACTCCCAGATCAAGAACAACAAACATGAAAATAGTAAAAAAAAAAACAAACTAAAAACCAAAAACCACGGCCAAAAACATCAAAGCCACATACTTACCTTAAAAAATAATAATCCTTATAAGAAAGAAATAAAGTATATAAAAACGAATTAGAAGAAAAAGACAAAACAGTAAAACTAAAGAAAATAGAAAATCTATAAAAATAAAAAGACCATAAGTATTAACATCAGTAACTTTCTATAACCTCCATTTCGTACTGTAACTTTCTATAACCTCCATTTCGTACTATCTCCAGTAGAAAATACACAACATAAACCGCCCAGCCTCGATAAACCAAACTATTATCAAGTTTTTATAAGGGAATAGTCTCAAAAAAAAAACTCCGCAATCACAAAAAATGTAACATCGATGTAGCGCAGCATACTATATAATAACTACTATGTACACAGTTGTTAACTTCAGAATATTTTAAAAAATAAAAATAGCAAATAAAGATTTCATAAAATTCATCATCAAGAAAACAAAATATTTATTCACTGATGATTTAAAGATTTCTTTAAATCATCAGTAAATTAAATATTTTGTTATGATATGGTTAAGAAGATTGTTAGTCGTCCCATCGACTCTTTTCACCAAGTGATAATTCTCTAATATTAATCAACGCAGCACAAGAATTGTTATATATCATTTCTCGTCTGCATTATACGAATGATCTCATTTAAACAGTTATAATTTACGTTGGGAATAAGCTCTTTGGAATGATCACAGATTGTTACCAAAAAGTATACACGTCCATGAAATCCCATCGCCTTCTTTATTTTCCCTTTTTCTTCAGCGCACAGCCTACTTCCATCATAGATCCTCTATTACTTCCCCATATTTCTGGGTATAAATATGCTTCCTTTATTGCTTCATCTCAATTCTTTATTGGTGTAGTTTTCATTCTAGTAAGCCTAAAATTTGAAATGAAGCGAACAAATGACAAGAATACCCAGATTTTCTGTCACTATCAATACAATTCACAACTGAAATGATTCATTTATCTATTCCAATTCAACATAAATGAATCTCATGCACAAAAAAAAGTACAATTTTCGAATATGACAGGAAATGTCGACATTACTGAAATGTAATATACTCAGTGTTATATATATTGAAATTCGGATGAGCGAATGGGCCGAAATCTGTCTACTTCTCAACACTGACAAAAAATGAATAAAATTCAAGAAATGTATCAAACAGAAGTAAACCAACTAATATTGATAAAGAAGCTCGATTCTTCAACTACTTCTGGATATAATTTAATCTGCTCTTTAATAATATTTGGTCGTGCAGTTTACTTACCTTAAAAATCAAACCTGTACAGACGATTTATTTAAATAAAAATGGATATGATGAGAAGGGCATCATAAATTCTTGCAAGCTGATTTTCATAGACTATTGTCAACTGCAGATGTTTTAATCCTTCAGGAACTTAGTTGCTATAGCTGCTGCAAGAGGTCATCCGAAATCTGGCACTGCCAAGTGAATTGAAAAAAATAACGGATTTTGAGCACTATACCATGTAAAAACAAACTAGATGCATAGTACAATATAACTTTTTATAAACTAGGCTCAAATATCCAAAACTCTAGGCTAATATCATCAAAATGTAACAAATTCACTAAATCACGGGAAAACCGGAATTGAATTATGATCGATTTAAAATATAAAACATATAACATACAAACTATCATTTTAGCGTTGACTACGATTTGATGAATTTGATGAAGTACTGGAAATGGAAGAAAAATAACGATTATAAGTGATATAAGGAAACTCAGGATGTCGCACAGGTACTATTCGTGAACCATCTGCAAGCCAATTTCGAGGACCCAACACATCTCTACCATCTTCACACAACCGTTCTTCTAACCATGCCAAAAAACGGTCCTTTCTCCGTCCTGTTACTATTTTGTGTTTCTGCAAATTAAAATTTAGTCAGTCGATATTCACGTCATCCAAAAAAACTGCTCCGAGAATAATTTGCACATTCTAACAAATATAATTTTTAAGACTAGATCAATCAAATGCTTTTATCTTTAATAGATACATATATCTTCTTGAACTATTTTCTTCTTTCGTTCTTACATTTTTTATCCATAACATCTAATTTCGCACATCGTCAACTTACATCCATCCCTTTTCGCGGCGCTCCAGCTTTTATCAGCAAATCGCCTGAACCTTTGGTAAACCGCATTTTATAATTTCCTGCTGGAGAAAACAGTGCGCTTAGATCCTCACTCATCACAATGCTGGGCAATTTCTCTTCCAGCTTCTGTTCTCCATTTCCATCTTCATTCTTTTTATTCGTTTCATCGTCCTTCTTTCTAAAAATGACAATGGAACGCCAGAATGAAGACCTTAACACTGAGGAATAGGCTAATATTTGTTTAGAATCTTAGTAGGAAAATGATGTGCTATAAAACGAAGAGACCTGTACTTATCCATTCCCGCTTTGATATATTTCATAAGAAATAAGGGAGGCCTTTCACCAATAGTTTCGAGCATCTGTTGCTGATCTTCTGGACTTAAAGCCGATGACGACGGCTCATTAGAAAGACTCTAAAAAAACATATATTTTCTAAATTTGGAAAAAGATTAGAAATTGGAGCGAAAATTTGATATTAAGCGATGCATTGCAATTAATAATATACGATACGTTGGAAATGGAAAATCACCAAAAAATTTGTTCCTGAACTAATTTCAATATACTCAGAAGATAAACCTCAACATAATGATGAACATAACGACTCCATTCTTGGTCACTGTCACCTTTCTCTCCTTCCTCAGTTACATCACTATCGATCAGTTCCATCGTAACGCTTCGGGTATCATGAAGGAAAAAAGTCTTAAAACAGTTCTGATTAGCAAGCACTTCTTGTGCAGCCCGTTCGTAAGCATCATCAATATTTTCTTCATTTTTGTCTCGACTATACAAACTGACGGGATGCTCAAAACGGTATTTTTTGTATAGATCCATACTAGCAATATTCGCATCCTCGCAAGACATGTTTTGCAGTTGCCGTGCAATTGTTATGATAATTTTATCCATTGTGAATGTTAAGTAAGCAGCTGTTCCAAACATTTTCCTGAAAAAAAAGAAAAAGAAAACATGACAATAAACTTAACTTCACCTTCAATAATTTGAATCAGACTCATTATGCTGCAAAATATTTCAATTAGTTCTACCAATTACCTGACGTTATCTTCAAAAGCGACACTGTCAATGAGACCATCCAGAAGGTTTTTAACTTCATTAATCAATGCGCTGTAGTAGTTAACCGGACTTTGGCTGTCCGGTTTCAGCAAAGACAAACCAAGTTTTGTGTCCAGTTCAACTGATTTCAACGACCCACCATCACCAGCACATCGATTTATTACAGATTCGCGTTCCATTCGTATGCGCTCTTCCACCTGAACATTTTATCACAACTCACAAACTACGTGAGAACATTATTCTAAAAATTATTAAAAATGATTTCTTACGAAAGATTTTTAGCATCCAATAATTGCAAACAATATCTTGCGTCTCAGACGATCAATTTAAGGTTCAAAAAATATTACGCTTATTTTTAAGAATCCTAGATATGTTTCAAATACTGCTTCGTACTGGATGTATTTCGAGATACCAATGAACATCAATAATTTTTAAAAAGCTATAAAATGAAGATGCTAAAAATTACTTCGTGATTCTTAATAATTTCTCGATGTGTTTTCTTCAAATAAGCCAACCGATCACACATTAAATGATGAAGTCTAATGAATATACACCATGTGTTCGCACCGTAGAAAAGGCGATATGTAGAAGACTCGTTCCCATTCGCAGACTGAGCCTGAAAACGTTTCTTATATAAAACTCAGAAAATGTATATAATTTCAAACAATTTGCCAAAAGGATCTTTATTAAAAAAGCTTGCATACAATTTCGAACAATTTGAAACTAAAAAAGTAGTTTGAGAATTTTTTTGAGAAATTTTGAAACCAAAGAATACCATTAAATCCTACAAACTTAAAGTTTCACTCTTTCAAACTTGCTGCGAACTGCAAATTATGTCATAAGCCAAAGAGATCTTTACTAAAAAAACAAATTTAATAGACTCAGTTTGAGAAATGCAAATGAGTAACAATCCAAAAGACTTCTGTTACATCTGGTATCAAGCGTCACTCTTAATTATATTGGAAAAATATACGTCATATCTAACTCTAAGATGTTTACACCTTGCAATAACAAACACCGTCTTACATAATTTTTCGATTCTGCATTATCATTTGATGTTGTCTTTTGAGCTTGATCTGTATATAATCCAATACCTCGTTCTTCTTCAGGATTTTGACCTTTAATATAAATCAGAAGTTAGAAGCTCGATAATATATCAACAATATATTGTCCATCAAAAGTTCTTCAATAAGCACAAATGTAAAAAATTATAAAGTGATTAAGAAGAGTTCGCTACTTCTGTTTATTGATTACTTCCAACAAGAAAAAAAACGAACCAACACGATCTCGGTCCTCTACTTCCTCTTCATCACTCAATTCTTGGGGTGGAATATTGAATAACTCTGGGACAAAACGTTTCAAATAACGTTTCGCATGACGTTTCTCTTCTTTCTGAATATTTGCCTGTCGTTTCACATAATGTATTACCAAATCATTAACATCATACAGAACACGTATATCTTCCGGATATGAATAAATACAATGTGGTCCATATTCCACTGATTCACCTTCATCATTCCGATCAGTGCGCTAAAAATATTAGTAAGTTGAATTTTCTAGATCAATAAAGCTATACTTCGAATATAAAAAATCCTAAAACATTAGAAAGTTATATTTCCGTATGATTTTAAAGAATACTAAACATTTTACTTCAAAGCATTGACAAAATTAAACAAAATCAATGGGACTTTTTAATCGACATGAAATTCAGTATTCCTGATATAATTTTATTATATCCGGAGAGCAAAAATTATAGAACGGATTCGAATGCAATATCTTACCTCATCGTACAAATTCTCGAACTGGCTGATGATTGTTTTTGCACGGAGTAGTTTCAAATCATTTTGCTTAAAGATTATTGACTGATGATCTAGACTTTTTATAAAATGTTTATCCGTTTCTTCACGCCAAATGCGATTACATATTTCTTGATTTTTACGCCATTCGATGTCTTTTTGTCGCATTCGTTCAATCAGTCTTGGTATCATAACTTGAGGATTTTTCATTGCTCCTTCTAACATCTTTAAGGTATGATCCCTAAAGAAATCGGCTAAATTTCCATAAGTTCAACTCTTAAAATTAAGTCATCTTTTACCACTCCAATTCGAGGCAATTTAAAAAGTTCTAAACCTTACCCATAAATTCTCTGCAGTGCGCGTAACATAATCGAATCAGAACTACCACCCAAAGAAGGACCCAAACGAAAGCTGTTCAATTCTTCATTTTTCATCCGTGACATTTTCCGTTGAACCATTTCCAAAACCTCTAAAGCTGCTTTGTTCACTTCAATGACGATATCCAACTGAAAAATTCGTATTTTAAAGGACATCATTTAATATCTACTTTCAAATGAAGAAAAAATGATGTTAAAAATTACAAAAGAACTTGATTGAAGCTAAAAAAACCTCATAACGTTCATCTTCCGTACGAAATACGAATTCCTCAAATGGTGTCTTCTTAGAATGTACGGCTGAACTATCCTCAGAAGACCAACATGGAAATGAAACCCAGGAATTGTTAAGGACAGATTCACAAAGTGGCGTTCGTCCAGAACAAAGCGGTTTTTCATATGATTCTGGCAAAGACCGATAGCTAACACCCAGTCTTCGACATGTAGCATAATCTGAAAATTTTGTTTTATTTTAAAGATATGTGATAGATGAATCTAGTTCGTAAGAGAAAGAAGTGGACTTTCTGAAATTTGGCTTTGAAATTACCAATTTTGTGCTCCAATTCTACATCATCGCTCGTGTAAGCTGGTCGCCGCCGACACCTATCGTCGCTCTGTTGACTATCCCCATGCGTATCCGGCAATCCCAAAAGTTCTTTCACATGTTTCAATAACAGTGTGAAACGTCTGGAAAAAAATAAATATGCAAAGCACTGATAAATAATATAAAAACGGAAAATTTTTATTTCTGGGAAATTTTACCCGATGAAAGGTGTTAAAAGCTCCACAAGTTCATTTTTTGAAATAATGCTTTGGTTGTATAAAGCAAGGCAACGCAGAAAATTTTCATGTACACCATTATCAATTAGTGCTTTCCGTATCTGTAAAATTTATCGATAATTTACGTAATATAGAATTCTTCCTGAAATTTAGAATAAGTACTTTCATATTTCAAACAATATTATCACCGATGAAGATAAAAAACAGTAAACACAAAAAAATTAAAAACTCATTTTCTACTGAACTCGTGTATCCATTCATTCCAAATTAATCAAAAAATAACATTAGTTAGAGTAAATTTTTTTCTATTTTAAATAGTTATTTCAATATATTAAGTAACTTTTATATTAGGTATCTTGCATATCAGTACAAACATAAAAAAACCTTACGATGCCCTGCACGGCACACCAAAATCCTGACTTTTTTCAGTACTCCAAACAAAATTTAAGAAAAAATTAAAAGACAACAGAAAGCTTGCTTCTCGTAGCCAACATACCTTGTCAAAGAAAAGATAATCTTCAACGGTACCGAATTTGGCTGCTTCTTCAACATCTGTATCATATGTCAACATATTAATACTTCCTAATTTCGCTCTCTGTAAATACAGACTGCCATTAATAAAATGTTAAGTGGCCAAAATTATTAAGTTGTGTAGCCCAAACATATCGAATAGTTTTACGTTAAAATCTGCTGAACCTGATGTTAATATCACTTCAAAATATTCCAAACTATTCTTATATAATACATGGTAATAAGCTTTAAAAAACCTTGGCTGTTGTTGTAGAATACATCGAAGCGGTACGTTTTCCAAGATTCGTTCCTTGCAGATTCTGAACTTTTGGTACACAAACAGGTTGGGGAGAAACGACAAAAGTGCTGCGTTCCCCACTTTTCTGGATTTTTCCCTAAAAGATTCATTTGTTAATCTGCCAAAAAATTGATGAAATTGAAGTTTAGAAAGATTACTTTACTAGTCGTATCGCGAGGCGTACTAGAGGACGGACCAGATATTCCAGATACAGGAGAGCTCGGTTGAAATTGTTGTTTAAATTCCTGCACTAAATCAGTGTCATTTTCAAAAAGCACTTCGACTGCCTCTAGAGCTCGTTTATATCCTTGAATGACCCCTCCTTCCTGAAACTTAACTGTTAAACAACTGACAATCAAGAATAATATGTCTTAATTGGCCACTTTGTAGTGCGTCCTAAAATAATAGGATTCAGTAATATATCACTTTAATTTAATGCCAACATGATAAGGTATGTTTTTAAAATGCTACCATGATCTTCTTGAGAAAATCATGCACACTAACAGGTCATGCCGCATCAAGGGATAACAATGATTTTGTAACTACCAAGTACGGAAAGTTACAGAACTTACTTGTGTTAGCCGCTGAAGTCGTTGAAGAATCTCAAGAAATTTGTGGTAGATTTCGGGTCGATCCTCGAAGCGAGCCTGAAAATAAATTTGAAAACTGTTTCTTTTTCCACTTCAATAATGACGAAAAAAAGCAATTCATAATTATATTATTTTTTTATATATATAATTGACTCACCATTACTTTGTTTCTGTACATTACAGCATCTTGGTAAGTTGCAGCAGTGACACGGTTTGATAAAAAAGCAACAGGTCTAACTTCATTAGATTGCAAATCCGTAACAGTCGGTGCAAGTTCACTTTCCTGATGTTCGGTTACAACTGGTTCTGTTGTGGAGCTCAGATCTGATGCACTAGCTTCACTTGCTGCTAATAATGGATCTCCAGCGATACCCGCAACAGGCTGAATCGGAGATGATGCTTTTGTCATTTGAGAACTTTGTGCTATTTCCGATGAGGCGCATAATTCAGGATGATCTGAAAATACTCATCTTTCTGTATTTCTTTTAATTTTTTGATACATTGAGAACAATCCAAACAGAAAATATCCAATAATAAATTCAATAATGTACTATTACTCAACATCTGTTAAAAATTGAAACATCTCAAAATCCTGCTGCCTTCTGATCATACCATGTAACATTAAACAGTCGCAGATAAGTTCTTTTAATCCAGAATTTTAGTAAAAATTACTTTTTTCTTCATGACTAAGGAAAATTTCACTTACGTATAATATAAATGAAGGTAGGATTATGGACAGGTAATAAGATGTGCAAGACTTTTGCTAACATGTTCTTTGATATGAAAAAGAGACGGCTTCAACGCTTTAAAAGGAAAGAGTCACAAAAATAACAGAAATAAAAGGACTTTAGAGAGATGAGGAGCAAGGAAATAGGATACCCAATATAGGACATTTTTGAGATCAATCTTCTTCGTGTTTTACCAATTACTTCAGTTAAAATTATCGTTGTTTGTAGATCGTTAAACATAATTCCAAAACAAAAATATATAGAAATATTTGCAGTAATACCTCTGCAAAAAATTTCGAAAGTATCTTCAGTGTCTTGAAAATCAATTACATGCTTCCCAGTTTCAAAAAACGGAAAGCGATACAAAGAATGCCTGACTTTATCACTACACTATCTCCTCTTTTTATGTTAAAATGACTTTTAAGCAGACATACTTTCATTAATGACTTGTCTACGACCATTTGGTTCGGTTATAATGACTTTTATTCCATCAACAGAAACATCAAATCCAGGTGGCAGAAATGTATTAAATGCAATGATTAGATTAGGTCGACCACGAAACAAACGTGAAACCCGTTTTATTACACCAGGCGTATCAATGCTAAAAACTTGCCATGTTAAAGCATAGTTTTAAACAAGTAATATGACAATAAACATTTGTCTATATAAATTGTAAATATTAAAATTGCAAGACTTACACTTCACTTTTTCAAAAATCTTAGAAAGACAGTACCATGGAGTAAGAAATTCCCGACTGTTGTGGGTGTCAATTCATTAACTCTTTTTCGTGTTTATAAAAAAATAACTAAAACCTACGCCTGGGATTTGAAATCTTTCATGACATCGAGAAAGTTAATATAGACATCTGGTGCATCCGCAAACTGCTGTTTCACTTGATCCAAATAACATAATGCATCCTCGACGCGCAGCCTCTACAAATTACTCAAAAAAATATCATGCAACTAAACTTGATGTTCACTTACAGAAATAAAAACTGAGCAAACATTTTAGAAACATACTCTTACGTTCCCGCGCATTGCGTTTTCACGTGACGTTTCAGATCCCTGATTTGGTTGAAATAAAGTATTGCCATTTGGCACAATATTTTCACGGCTACAAGATAATACAGCTGATTTTTTGATCTTGTTCACTGTCTTTCAGAACTTCTCTTATTTAATAAACAAAGAGAAGGAGAACAAAGGATCATTTCAAGACTTAGCAGGATGATTTAAACGAAAATAATAAAGCGAAGGTATAAATATAATTACGTCAATCCTGTTTTATCCAAAAATTTACATAATTTTCTTCTCAAGAAAAGTATAATCATCAGATAAACTTGAGGAACTTAAGCTGAAATTGCCTGTCAAAAAGATTTCTCTCTTGAGTGATTAAAGTGTCAAGCTTTTAAAACTTTAAAAAAAAAGAACATTGAGCTGAAGGCTCAATGCTCCAAATGTTCCCGCTAGATAAAAACTTTGCGCATACTAAAAAACAGTGAAAATTTAGAAATTAGTCATGATAGTTTAAATTATAGCATACTTCAACTGTAATCAATACTGCTAACTGGAACTGTTATTTAAATTATGAAAATTTATTATATTTTTCTATCAATCTACCCGTCATTTTAAATTTTACCAACTTTTTCTCTTTTATAAAAATGATTCCTCTTTTGAGGACATTTCTTGTCTCAATAAGTAAATAGTAAATTAATAAATCTGACCTAATACCTCAAATTGCACCATTTTTCAAAAGGTTTCACTAACTCGGTGATTAGAATTGGTCAATTTAAAGTAAAATGATATGAAAGAATTACTGCGATTGTAATGTATCATTTAACATAATATTATTCACAACTGGCATACGAAGTGCTGGATTACTTTCACCGTTTATTGCTGACATTCTTAAAAACCTTGTTTCAAGACCACATAGTTGTTTTTCCCTGTAAATAGTGGTAGAGATTATAATTTAACTTCAAATTATTTGATAAGGCAATGCAATACAAAATTATTCATAACTATTTTAAATCCCAACGTCGTTTGTAAACACGAGTAATCCCAAAAAATATATATAATAAAGGATATATGTAAAGTGTCAATAAACAGGAAAAGTAAGGATAATCAATCAGTAAAACCACATATAATGAATAAAGGTCGAGTACTATTTCAGCTATCAAACATTACAAGTTTCGTTAGTGCTGCCGATACTGTTTTACAAATGGAAAATATAAGTCGATAAAAGATCTAATTTCAACAAAACATACCGTCTAAACTTGGATTAAGGATTATACAAATAAAGATTCATCATGAACATAAAAGCACACATTTCCAAGGCTTTTTTACGACTTTCTTGACATTTGCAAGACCTTCTCACCACTTCCTTTTACCTCGCTGGTTCTAAGACATTATGAAGTGAGTCATGAAGGCAGTCACTGTGTGAATTAACGAAAAGAAGTTTAAGCCCAAACTTCCATAAGTTAACAAAGCGCTACGAGGATCCTCAATCATTATAGGTTTGCTGGCAAAATATATTGACACTTCAACCAGTTTAAAATATTCTTTAAAAAAAACCTTCACAATCTTCTTCAACAGGTATATCTTTCCTTCATTCAAAACACTACCGCAATTAATAGATACTAATACGCGTGCATTCACTTACCTAAATCATTTAATTTACAGTTTTAACGAATATTATTTTTGCTAAATATTGCGTCGTTATCTTCTGCCACATATTTTTTCGGATATCATTACTCTCTAATCTCTTTCAGAAGCGTATAATTCTCCATCTTAAGCGGTGAATTTCATTAATACAAGATAAAAAGTTCGGTCAACATAACCCTCTTACCTTCAGATTAATCCCCTTTCCCTCTCCCCTCTTCTCTCAAGGAACAACCAAACGTGCTGTATTGAACACGCCCAGACGTATAATGAACTTTACCAAAGAAATATAGCTGAATCCTAATGAAAACTGCAATCCCGCAACTGCTAAATTAGCTCACTCTTCATTTGGCATTTGGCGTTATTTTTTGTTAATGTTGAAAATAGGACGGGTGAGTGCCTCACGTTTTTATTTTCCGCATAATTGACAGTTCTCTTCGTCAATAAACTGCTTCTACATGAAAAAGAAATTTAAATAAATTAATAAATTAATCTCACTATTCATCCTTTTATTGTCATTTGCACTTTAGACAGTAAAACTTCTTAAAGAAATGTATTTTTAGTAAATTTGAGAGTTTAATTGAAAGAAATAATTTTTCGAGAAAATCCAAAAATTAGCACGTTATCGAGCAAATCAATTAGACTTGTGGCATTGAGAGAAGGAAGAAGTCATTTATTTTATTTATCCATATCGTTCAGCTTATCTTCATGTTCATTGCTTTGTTAAAATCAAAATAATTAATTTGATCTCCTTTTTATTGTAAATTGACGAGGCTGGAGATGGTGAATAAAATTGGGATTTGTGCAGATTTCAAGTCTTTATTTTGTGATATTTCCAAATTTTTGCTTAATTCCTAATAAATCCATTTTCAGATAATCTAACTCATTCCCCCAATCCCAGAAATTCCTGTATTCAACCATAAAAAGAATTTATGGAGTAAATTTTTCAGTGTATCTCTTGATGTGATGTATTTCTTAAATTACTACTAGTTCTGTAATGCTTATTATAAAACACTAATTAGAACATGTCTTTCTGTTACATTATATTATTCCTACACTATTGCCAGTTGTGATATGTACATTGAGAAATTGCTTGTTTTTATTGCTTATATGATATTTTAATTACATTTAGTAGCAGCGTAATAGTAAAGCATCAACTTTATGTGTGTCACAAAAACACATTGCATAATTAAATGCTAAAATTGAAATGAAGCACTGGATAGACTTGTTTTTCTCATGCATTTAGAGAAGATAAGAAAAATGATTGCGTCGTAAAATTACACTTGAACACTCACTTTATATTGATTCGATAATTTTGAGATAGCAGCGGGAAATATTTTTGAAAGTTTTAAGTAATCCATTAGGACATTATTGCATTCCAATTAGTTAAAATTTGTTAACTGAAATCCTTGACACTGTAATTAGCGGATATATTTGATGGAATGTTACAAAGCTTGAAATGTGAAAAGGTCAGATGCACCTACATCGAATGTTGCATGATGAAATGACAGTTGAGTGATCTTTACGAACTGCAAAAATTATAATGTTGAAACTATTAAATTTAAGGTTTCTGATGATTTTTAATCGATTTTTTGTGACTTATCAGTTGTGTGAGCAGCTTATTTTGCATTTATAATGAATGGGTGTTTTTGAAGGATAGCAAGTCTGTTGAACCTTGAACGACCTTCGCGTCACAGATCAATGTTCATTTTTTTTTATAGTCGCGTTAACAATCTTCGCACGGCACTTTTGTTGCGACATCATGTTTCGCTTATTTTCCTCATTCCTTTGGCGGTGTGCAACATGATTAATACGACTCGGTCCTTCAACTATCAGTACAAGTTCATGAGTAAAAAACATATCCATCCTCCCAATATTCAAATTTTCTCGGAAGAGAGCTGATGACAGAGGAGATTAACATATTATCTTATTTATCTTCTTGCTTTTCTGTCTGTTTCAAGTAATTCAAATAACTAAACGGGATGTCAAATATTAGATTAAATCTATACTTACCTGAGGTACTTTATAGGCATGAGCATTTCTCCTCTTCTATACATATTTTAGGAGATACAATGTCTAAAAACATGTGTACATTGCTGTTAAATAAGATGGACTGGAACTGATGGTTACCTAACTATAGACTGATCGTGTGTGACTGTAGATTCGATTTTGAATAGCTAGGGAGATCAACAAATTTCCCCCGTTTTTAATTTTTAATTTTCAGTCAAGTAATGTTAAATATTTTACCAAACATCATTTATCACATTAGTGAAAAAATCATTTCAGAACTAATAGATTATCACGTCAGTTCAATCTAATTCAATCGCTTATACCATCTTTCATATTCCCTTGCAGACATGTTAGCTTTAAACGAAACTGTGCTCCTGGATGGTATTTTCCAGTAAGAGAGGTCCCTGCACCCACTTTGATATTGTTTTTATTGTTGTTGTGTGTTGAAGGAAAATGATGTTTTTAGTGTGAGAGTAATTCGTTTATGCCAAACATTTTCACTTCGTTCTTTAAAAAAGAAATCAGAATGGAGTTTTTATTTATTTATTTTTTATGACAAATTGGCCTAATTCTTTGTCATCATTACTGCCTCTGAAAACTGTTATTTTGGCAGAGAATGCGCAACATTTTTATGTGTCCATGTGGGCAGTTGGAGGTGGTGGTCAAAAGAATTTAAGTGTGGTTGACGTGAAAGAAGTTGAGAACAATATGAGAGGTACAGAAAGGACAGTGCAGAGGGATTAGGAAAGAAGATTTGTGAAAAAGTGATGATAAAGATTCTGGATTTCGTCTAACCCTCTCCCTAATTTCTCGAAAAATTCTGCCGATTTCATTGGAAAGGTTTTACGTAGCCGGTGCAAGTGTTAGACAGGGAGAGAGAGGTTTTTGAACCAGCACCTCTACGAATTCATCTTCACCCGATCGGTGCTACTGGTACGATTACCCAGCGCTACAGCCACAGCTCATCATCATCACAAAATCGTCGCGTCATCGTCACCGTCACCACCCAGCGACATTGATGGACCATCGGGTCGGGGGTCGATGTCCTCGCCGATCAGGAAGATAGAGAACAGGAAGGGGACAATCGCCATCAGTATCAACCACCTCCCGTACCAGTCAAATACACAATAATAATGCATCTGACGGACATATAACAATGTTTTGGCCCTTGTTCTCCTCCATCCCTATTTTAACATTGAAAAGTTTTCAAAATCATTTCAACTCCCCCGCCCCTCCCTGTTTTCCCCTTCCTTGTTCTCCCCCTCTCTTCACCCCCCACCCACAGAGGACCACCTCCATCTCCAAAATCAAAGAGAGAAAAGAGTTCTGATAGACCGCTACCATTACCACGGGTTTTACTACTACTCGGGAAAGTTTGTCGTCGCCATCATCATCGTTATCGCCAAATTTGGATAGTTGAGAGGGCATCTCCCGATCCGACCTCCTCCTCTATCGTCGATCACTATCTGTTCATCCATCTACTACCACTACTGCCACTACTACTACTACTCCTACTGCACTAACTACCACTACTGCTGCTACCACTACTACCATTACTACCACTATTACAACTACAACTACTATTATTATTATTATTGTTACTACTACTACATCAATTACAACAATACATATTACAACTGTCACTTCCACAACTGGGCTGTGCAGTTGACGACAGAAGGCAAGACATTTCCTCATGCATTGGAGGAGATGTATCGTCGGATGACTACAACTACGATCGCGACCACCTACCTATCTGTACGTTCTGTTTCTCCAATAGCAGGAGCAGCATTCCAGTAGCAACAGCTCTTCAACAGTCCTCGGTGCCATCGGTATCCGATTCCTAGATGTTGTGGGTGGAAGTTTTGTCATCATTCCAACGATTACTACTATTGCTACCATGGTTTTATCACTGGTACTACTGCGATCATCGCCACTACTTCATGGCCTTTATATGGAGGAAGCTAGCTAAAGTGGGCCTACTGTTTTGAACGGTCTTGTGGGTTTGGCATTGGAAAGTGGCACTTTAGTCATTATTGTTCACTTTAAGCAATTATTACTTCCTTCCTACCTTCCACCTCTTTTAGCAACGACAGCTACAAGAAGCAAGTAGCAGAAGTACCACCAACAAGACGTCCTATTCGACGTCGGTTGGCGCAGCCCAAAAAGGACGAAGGAAAAAGTGGAAGGCGCAAGAGTCGAATCTATTCGGTTGCTTGGTCGTTTGGTTGGTTGATCTGGTCTAGCGTTGTCCTCGTTATCGTCGTGGGTACCGAAAACACCTGTCAAACGGCCGTCGTTTGTTGGGGTTGGACTGTCGGAGATTGTCCTTATAATAATCAAACCCATTATCATCGGAGTGTCGGTTTCCCATCCAGTTGGCTGAAAACCTACCGCCGCCCATCGGGGTCCCTGGAAAACGAAGGAAAGAAGAAAGAGACGAAACACTGCAGTTATTGGTGCTGTACAAAAATGCGAGGTAAGCGGGCTACCAAACCAGGTTTCTGGGTCCCATTCATATGGTGTCGAACCTCCCCCGCTGCTGCTCCGCTTTGCAACAGCCGTCAACGAACTGCACCGCATCCCCAGCCTTTCCTATCCTATCATGTACCCTCGTAAATAATACTAAACCAGAACAAGAGCAATGGTAGTATAGGAACACTCTTAGGCGATAAAACATCTATACATCTCCTCAAGATATACACGAGCACTACTATTGCTACTGGTACTGAAACCAACCCGCTATGCTCCCTGTTTTCTGCCCTAGAATCCTAGATTTCCTATGAAACTATCATTTCCAATTTACCTCCTTCTGGGCCACTCTCTTCCTTTAAAATTCAAAGTTCATTTGAAACTACTTATTTTTTCCTTTTAATCCTCATTTCAAATAAATTCAAAAAGGTACCACTGGTACCTTTGAAGGTAAAATTTGTATAGTAATTTAAAATCCATGTCGGTTGCTGTAGAGAAATATCAATAGTGTATCGACAAAATAATTCCAATTTTTCTAAATTAGACGAGAAGATTTTAATTATCATTTATCGTCTTTTATTAGGGAAGATTGATTTACTGATATTATGACAATTTGAAAACTCTTTAAATAAAATATGCAATACAATTTCGTTATTGATGGTGCGCAAATTGTCCGCATGCAAAACAATCTGAACATCAGTCTTGAAAATGAATGTGATAACAACTGATATGATATTTGGTGTGATCTATTAATTAATTAATATAATGGTGGAATGAATGGGAAGAATCTTTCTTCATAATTATGCAATCATCTTTGTTCAAATTCCATTTTATTTCCAAATAATGAATGAGATAAAATGCTAAAAGCCAAATTGACAATATTTATGTCTTTTAATTAGTTAATTAAATAGCTCAAATAACATCAAATGCACGATATTCATTATCTTTTTTGAATATTTTCATTCTTCTAATTGATAATTTCAATTTTACATTACTATGATTTTTTTCTTCCCGAATTTCACTGACATGATGAAATGCCAGCATCTATTAAATTTCCATGTAATTTTATTAGATGTGAAATTCTCATCGAGTTATTCAATATTTTATTGTACGTTTTCTCGATAATTAAGTTTCATCTGATTGATGCAATTTTCCGATTTATGAGAAACTCGAAATTTTAAGGATAATATTTCGAGCTTCTTATTGGTATGAATTCTCATAAACTTATGGTGATCAACGACTATATTAATAATGTATGAACTAACGAGAGATTTTGGAAATAAACTATTTTGTAGTATTGAAAAATTAGCGGTGATTTAATGCGGGTTATGTTAAATGCTAGATAAAATGAACATAATTCATGTTGAAGAATATTCAACGAGTTACAAAATTCAATTTAATTAACTCAAAAAAATATATACTGCCATTAATTGGCTGAAAAGTGAGCTACGCTTCATTTTTCAGATGTAAAAATTCAAATGAACTTTACATCTGAAAATTGATTAACCGGTCCGAGAAGAATGCTTCAATTCATTTATCTAAAAATTTCTGTCAAATTTTTTATTAAATGTGATAGATGATTCGCTTCTGATGCTTCAATATTCCATTTTGGAATTTAATGCCCTTAACCATACAGTATGACGTTGCTCAGTATTGCCAATTTAAAGAAAATTTTTCAATTTATGAAAACATTATCATAGTTCAAATGACAGTATAATGTTTTAGTGGTGAACAAAAATATTTTAATAGTTAAATTGCAGAATGTATTGGCAATCACAAGTATATTTAAAAGTTTGCAATACTATTGGTACTAACATTGGTGTGCACTTTTTTCAATTGTACTTATTACTAATATTTTTCAAATTCTAATAGTTAAATTGCAGAATGTATTGGCAATCACAAGTATATTTAAAATTTTGCAATACTATTGGTACCAACATTGGTGTGCACTTTTTTCTATGTACCTATTACTAATATTTTTCAAATTCTAAATGAATTACTAAATTCTATCACAGGTTCTACTGTGATGTAAGAATTTTAAAGAATTAAATCTGAATTTCACCAGATCAAATCACTGGCTATCGTAATTATATCCATATTGTCTAAGAACTATTCGGAAGTTATTAATTCCGAAAATAGTTTGAATTTTATTTTTGAAAATGTTGTTCAGTTAAATTTTACAGGAAGTGAAGTAACTTTTGTTTTGGTTGAATTTTTCTGTAACTAAAAATCCGTACAGTAATAGATTTTCATTTTGTTAATAATACGTTTCAAAATTTATAAAAAAAAAATGATATATTTGAAAATTTACAAAAAAATAATACTTTTAAAATTCATAAAAAAATAATACGTTTCAAAATTTCAAAATTTATAAAAAAGCGAAAATCGACAAATTTAAGTTGAGACTAATTGCTGTAATGCGTGGGGTCTGAAAATTTCAATTTTCAGACAGTTCTCTATTTTCATTGAATTTCTTTTAGTCTCTTTTCATCTTTCGTATTACTACCACCAGCGTTGCGTATATGTAATGCTGGTTCTTGTAAGATTTTTTACAGCCGTAATTAGCCAAAATCTAATTAATTACTAGATTAATTAGGTTCCAACTTAGTAAGTATGAAAGCCCAGCTGTGACAAAATAACTCAAAAATGGTGGATGTGAATGATGCAGTTTGCTGTATTATTTCTCGTCGAACTGTTGTATAATTAAATGAAATTAGTTGATTGGTTCTGAAATTGATCTTTTTCACTTTAAGATAGTTTTAATAAATTCATAAGTGAATTTATGTTCATTTGAATTTGTACGACCTTTAGTGAATTCATGTTCATTTAAATTTATGCAACTTGAATATCACGAATGATAATCTTTTTTTTGTTGAAGAACTTTGAAACAGCAAATAGACTCAACTTCATCCTAAATAGAGAATATTCATCAAAATTCGAAATGAAAGACTTGTTTTTGTTAATTTTACACACATATACACTTTTGATATACGTACATACTTCTCTCGGGTTACAGTTACTTGTAGATGACGAAGAAGACACAACATGGGACCCAGAAATGTTTGAAAAAAATTGAAATCCAGATTGCAAACAACACTGATTTTGTTTGGTTAGTTTCAGCACAAATTGAAGTGATTCCGTGTAAAGTTTGTGGTGACAAATCTTCCGGAGTGCATTATGGTGTTATTACTTGTGAAGGATGTAAAGTAAGTTAAAAATTATCAACGATTCTTTCATCGCTTTCATATTCTTCAGCATTCAAATAATTTCATAGGAACGATTGGATTACTTTGAAAAATGTTTGCTTTTATAAAATTTTCAAAATATTATGCAAAATTTTTAAAAAAATTAATCATTCGGTTACTGAGTTTTTTAGTACTTTTAATTATGAGAGTGGTAATTGCAAAATATGCGCTGGATTTTCATTTTCTTTTATAAAACCTTTGCAAATTACTAAAATAAAGGTTTAAATTATGGAATTTACATCAAAATTAAAATTTTACAAAATTTTTTAAGGCAAATGAGATCCTTCTTATAATCGTTTTGTTAGGATTTACTTTTGTTGATCAACAAGATCAGTTCTTCTGATTCAAGCAATAAAATCACTCATTCACACGATATGATACATTTCCGAAATGAAACTCTTGAAAAAATTAGTAAAGAAATTAACGTTAATTTGCAAAAATTCAAAGCAATTTGGAAGAAATAAAAGATTTTGAGCATTAAAAAAAATTAATTTATATCGGAAATTTTTTTTTTCATTCCACAAATCCTATTGTGTCATCAATAATTTCAATGTTATATTCTTTTTAATTTCTATCTCGCAGCACTTTGATAGCAACAATATGTTCTAACCATTCCACTTGCAAATTCAAATTTCATAATGTGTGTTTCAAAATTTCTTTTAACTCGATATGTAAACTCAACTTATAACACGATATCATCAATATTTGCAAAGTTATCACAAACTATCAAAATCACATTATCATCACTGATAATCTGTGATAAGAACTCGTCGTTACTTTGTTACTTTGTCTGCTATTCAAAACAATAACTGGAAGACTTTCTTATGTCTTAGTCTTTCCTTTTTTTTTTATTTATGACTTATAGCGGAAAGAAGTGGATAGCTATTATAGGGATTTTTTCGGCGTAGTCAATCCACTCTCAACAACTACCAGTGTCCCAGGCAACAGAAATGTATCGTTGATCGAGTGAATCGGAATCGATGTCAGTATTGCCGTCTAAAGAAATGTCTGGAACTTGGAATGAGCCGAGATGCGGTGAAATTTGGCCGAATGAGTAAAAAACAACGTGAAAAAGTAGAAGATGAGGTGAAAATAACATTCCTTCTTTTATCTGTTTTTTATTTCCTTAAAAAAAAATTCGATTTTATGAATTTTTTAAAAGTTATATAAAACTTTAGATTAAATAAATTTCATTTCATTCAACTGATTTAATTTCATTAAAATATATGAAAAGCATACAAAAAATTTGCTTACAATGCTATTCACTTTCATGGAAGCATTACCGCTCACTTTTTTTCCATCTTTTCATTTTTTTTCGCTACATTCATAATCGCATTGTGCCAATGAGAGATGAAATAAATGTAAGAATAAAATTTCATTCATTTCCTCAAATAAAGCAATAGCAAGGCCTCTTATCATTTCTAATTGGTATTCATAATCAGATGAAATTCAAAGTTTCGAATTCAAAATCACACTGAAATATCCAATACGGTCATCACTGACAAGTCAAGATCATTTTGAAGAGTAGCTATTTCATTTGTTGAGGATTCTAACCCTATTCCTTTTCCTCTTTCTTTGTAATCTTCCCGTTTCTACCTGAAATTAATCCAATTAAAATAAACAAAATACTGTTCATTTCAGAGGTATTTATTTATCTAATTATCGAACTGATTACTCATTATCAGTAACCTAAACATTGTTGTTATATTTCTCTGTCATAACAACACAAAATCTAAAATTAAAATTGCATTCTTAGGTCCTAATATGCAATATCAAAGCAACAAAACAAACTTGAAAAAGCTAGCCATCTTATTCGTTACATATATTAATTACTTAATTATTATTATATTGATTCCAATATCTTTCCTACTACAACCTGTATGGTAGTAAAGGTAAATAATCATTACAGGTCAGAATGCACAAACAAATGGCGGAAGTTCAAGGAATTGCATATTCTCCATATGGTGAGTATTCGCCTCCTGCTCCTATACATCCAGCCGCTGCTTACAGTAATAATTATGAGCCATCTGTGGCTTACGCTGCAAGTTCTTATACAACTAACGCTGCAACTTATGCTGCAGCTGCACCCGTTAGCTATCCTTCTGTTCAGGGACAAGGTTATTCAATCGCTCAACAGGTAATTTAATCACTTTTATCCAAAATTTTATTTTTATCGTTTTAAAAATCTTTCCTTTCGATTATTTTTGTGTGTGAATGCGAATTGATAATATTTTTTGGATGATTTTCTTCATTATCAATAATGCTCTGCAATTGATATTAATATCATATTTATCATTAATAACTGGAACATACTGCTTTACATACGTAATTACCATCAGTGGACATTTTAACCAAAAACTTTTCCTGCATTTTGCAGGCAGCGGTACCCGCCCCCAGCGGTGGATATCCTCAACGGACAGTCGGTGCATCTCAGCCTGATGAAGATCTAATTGCGGGTGTTACGGCTGCATTTGATTCAGCACATGGTCCTGCTACCATTACAACTGCAGATCGACTAGCTGTCGCATCAACAAGTACCTTCACCGAGCAACAGTACCGCAATATGGTGAGTATCCCCGCTATTCATGCTAATCGATTAAAATCAATCATTCATAATCTGTTGATAATATATTCGTCAAACCGCATGCAACTGCTGATGCAATATTACATCAGTAAATTGTACTTCTAAATATGAATCGGCAATGTCGCACTCTAAGAAATATTTTGTGGGCAAACCAATGAGTATTATTAGCAGAAGCTTCTTTTCAAGTTTTATAGCACATAAAGTAAAATATATGCTAAAGTCTTCAAAATCATTTGTTACAAATTTCTTTCAACTGGCAAATCCAAATAAAAAAAATCAATGCTGCAAAAATATTGCGGAAGAATTTAAATTCCGCTAATTCCTCCTTAATTTCATTATCAATTATTTTGTAAATATTTTTGTTTCGACTCATTATGTTAGTATCAGAAAATTCATTACCTCAAAATTTGATCTGTTCATTTCGCTAATGTTTGATGTGAAAGTTAAAATATTAGTAGTAAGTTGAATAATCAATAGAAGATAATCGGAACAAATTAATTTGATGGTTTACCTTATTTTTATCTATTCCATTGTTATGAAATGATACACATATTCCAATGTAATTAAACCATATTAATACTACTAAATTAATGATACAAGTCTTTTAATTATTTTATTTTGAGAATTAAATTTATTAAATACTTGCAATAGTAGTTCAAAATTATCAAGAATAATCAAAAGTCTGAGAATTTCGAAAAGCAAATACATCTAACAATTCTTCTTTTAAGCAACTACAAATTGAAATTAATATTGCAAAACAAGATATGAAAGGAATCTGATGCGTCTCGTAGTAGCGCAATATAAACCTGCTTTTCGAGAACTTTTATAATTCCTGTCCTTGGAACAGATTTAGTCTTACTGTTCATCAGTATGCTCACTTGTATGATATGCATGTTGTCAGTCTTACCGGCTATTTATTGGTTTGTATGTTTGTGTCAATTGTGAGCTGTCTAGTTTCGGTCATGTACCTACCTCAATTGAAATGAGATGTCCTTGTGTGCGATCACCATCGAGAGATAAAAGAAACACAGGAAACTACGGGACCAAAATGAATGAGGTTTTTAAGAAATTTTGTAAAACTTAGAAGTGAGAATGATAGGAATAGTTGTGATAGGGAATTCAGAAATAATATCTCATTATTGATTTATTAACTATTCAATAATATTTCAAATATTTCAGCAATTAATGCAAAAAATCAAGAAGTACAAGACAAAAAAAAATTAACAATTTTTTGCTAAAAAAAATATTCAAACATTTAATAATAGCTTAAATGATTCTATTGTTTACCATAAAAATGCCAGAATTTAAATACCGTAACAGTGTTGTGAAGTGCTATATTTGAATGACCGATTGATAAGAGCGGTATGATTTATAGAACCGTTATAATCCATTGTAGTTTGTTTGAATTTAATAGGAGAAATGCCTTGAAATCTTCGAGATCCCGCCAAAAATGACCCAAAAAAGGGGTAAAGGTTGAAGGATGGAAATGGAAGAATTTCTGGTAATTTTGCTTCGTACAAAAGAACTACCTGGTACAAGAATGTTTGCAATAGTGGTTTGCGTTCTATTGAAAACATCACTCATTAATTGTCACCTTGAAAGGACAGCAGGAGGTGATCGCTAATAGGATTTTGGATCCTAATGAAAATAGTTGCCTAGTGAATGTTATCTTAAAAGAAAAAAAATTGAGACTCATAGAAGCCCTTTAAACGTTTCCCTTTAAACGTTCAAATTATCCTTCTAACAAAAATTTAAATTGCAGTGTGTTTATTCTTTATTCTGAGAAGCATACTTTATAAATTAATCATTTTTTATAAAATTTATCCATTAGTAAAATTAAATAATTTATAATGGAATAAATTTAAAGTGAGTAATACTTGATATTAATTCAATTGCTAGTTTTTAAGACTATTATTACTTCAATCGACTATTGCTAGTTTTTAAGTCTTTTTTCCCCTATATAGCTAAATTTTTTAAAGAAAAAATTCACTTTTTCTGGACATTCTACTCTGTCTTAGATTTTACATCCTTATCACTAATAATCAAAAATAAAATATACAAATTTTTCATTCATTATCTCTATGTTTTAAATCAAAGCACTTCAATCTTTTTCTTAATTATATTATTGTAACGTTTTTTTGGATAGATATATTTTGCAATTAAAACTTTAGAACAGGTTCGATGCATGGAAGAAATTTGCGGCAGAGCTGACTCGAATAATTCAATGTATTATTGAATTTGCAAAAATGGTAGAAGGTTTTATGCAATTAAGTCAGGAGGAGCAAATTGCGCTGTTGAAAGGATGTGTTTTCGAGCTTGCAGCAATTGTTGTTACCAGGCACTACAATCCTGAAACTACCTCGCTGATTCTCAGTCGAGAAGTCTTTCCAGCATCCATTTTTCGACCCAGCGAACAAGCTGAATTGAATTTCTTCCTTGGAGTAAATTTGCATTCAAAGTTTTTTACAATAAAAATTTTCATCCTCTTTTTTACAAACTTCAATAATTCATTCTCTTTCTTCTCAGCTTATTTGTTTTCCTATAATTGGTAAAAAATGTTTTCAATTTGCAGATGCACAGTTGCATTCATGAATTAGCCCAGCTGCGGTTAACAAGCGCAGAGATGGGTTTACTTTCCGCCTGGATATTACTGGATCGTTCATCACTTGGACAATATGTAATTGAACAATTCAGGAATTGTTTGCAGCAACAAATCGCGACAAGAGTACATTTTTGATTTTTTTCTGATTCCGATTGTGATGCATTCTAATATTTTGGACATATCCGTTTCTATAATTTTCCACCAGCCAATAAATTATCAAATATTGATCGTTTATGGATTTTTTAGTCGATTTTTTTTGCAGATAGCTGATTCTGGCCCGCTGATGCAAAAATTGTGTGAAATAATTCAACGTTTGCGTGGACATGCTCAGGAACATATTCGTTTACTGGGACAATTATTTACTACATACCCACAAGCAACGGAAAAAGGTGCGCTACCGGATTTATATAAAGAACTCTTCTCACCACCATCATCCTGAAATTTTAGTACCAACAAAATAGTGCCGACAAAACTTTCATTTGATCAGTGTATAAGAGAGATTCTTGCTAGAATGTTTCATAGGGATAATTCATTCCCGTTTAGATTGCCTCTCAACGATAAAAATGATAAATAAATTAATATTTTTTTATGGTGAATTTTTATGTAAAGCTTTCCCAAAGATTGCTCTCTCATCAATGAAAATGCGAGACAAAATCCGGTCCAAATGCTATCATCTTTCATCTTTATATTCAAATTATGATTCGCTGAGCTGTATAAAAATTGAAGAAATTTCTACTTTGTGAAACTGAGTTTTGTGGAAGTTTTACAGAAATAGTATTATCATTTAATCTTACGTTTAGTAACGTTACAATAGGTATGTTAAACAAATGATAAATGTCTATCGTACTCAAAGCGACGGGTAAGATTATTTACAGATGGATTAATAGTGAAAAGGTGAAATCGTGTTGTCAAAAAATTAGTATTGGAGGAAGATATATTCAGTATTTTATAATTCACTCCTAGCAGTGTTATTGGTGCTCAGTGTAAGTATGGCTTGAAAAAATATTTAAAAAAATTATTTCTTTTTTCGTCTGGAAGATTTCCTAAAATTAAATCTTTCATTCATAGTGATACCAAAAATTAATACTTTCCTTATGATTAATTGTCTTTCGATTGATGATTAATTGATATTTGGTTTTTGTTTACTTTTGTTTTGAATGAATACTAATATAATTTATGAGAAATTGTTTGAACTACAAATTTTTTTCCCTTCAAAAGTTCTGGAATTCTGCTATTTGGTTTTAAAGAATTCCTGAAAATTTATTCGATATTTCGAAAGTGAAATTAAAATAGCTTCATTTCTTATTTTCAGTGATACTTGTATTCTCTTAACAGTTAGGCTTAATTCGGAAAATTGTTTTGCTAGCGTCCTTCTTTTCCCTAAAATGTCAGTATCTTCGTATACTTTGAATTCTGTTTGCATTATTCATTTATTAGCCACAAAAATTTATCAAAATTTTAATTTGACCATTTAGCAGAATTTCCTTTATTGACTGTCAGTTGTCAGCTGTTGCTTTCATCTTCCCTCAATCCTTCATCGTTCTCTTCTCGATACGATCTCGAATTGGTAAAATAAATATGGTCAAAGCCGTCTCATATTTATGTATTGGCGAATATTAAGCAAACCAAAATGTTCAATTTATTCAACTACCATAATTACTCCCGAACTTCACTTTGCCTATCAAAGAAATATAATGCTGATGAATGTATTATTGATTGATGAGGAGCAGATTAATAAGAAATGTGATTGATGAAAATTCATTTCATATGTATTTACGGTTTCGCTCAAAATTCTATCAAATCCTCGTAAAATCTTTTACTGTATTCCCTTATTTTGAAAACAAATCTTGCATTGCAACGCTGTGCAGGTCGGAAATGGGTCGTTCGGGATTCGATTAGTGGAGGATGGTTATAGGTTGCGGCTGGCACGAGAACTTCCACCTCTGCTCTTTTGAACAATTTCTCAGTGGAATATTAAATTTTTCACCAAATTCCTCTATCATCTCCTTTTCGCTCAATTCATCTGATACATTTGTCAAATTTGGACATTGCAATAATTATTAATATTGTGACGATGTGATGATGATAGCAATGGAATTTTTCCCAAATTAATTAAATTATGCATTTCTAAAAAAAATTCAACCTCGAGATAGAAGGAAATTTTAAATATTTAGAATTTTATAAGCCATAGATAAGAGAGGCGATGACATTTCATTTGTCCTTTATTTAATTGAAATATTGTTTCTCATCCCATTCTGTGCAATATAAGAAAAATCATTTTGTTCTTTTCGATAAAAAAATACAAATTGTTTTTATTGTATTTGAAATTTTTATCACATTTTTTTCATTGTTGTACCAAATACAAATGATTTCTCATTTCCTATTTTCAAAGTATTTCTTTAAAAATTGTAAAAATTATTTTTGAAAAATGTTGGGTATTAATGAAGATTGAATAATAATGATTATTGAATGAATATGCAGGAAACAGTAAACAAATCCGGAAATTCCAGAATATTCTTCTAGAGTTTCGGGAGTTACCGGACTTAATGCATCAAGAATGAAATAATGGTCATCGAAACATCAGTGTAATAAGCATGGTAGTAAAGAAGACGAGTTAAAAGAATTCAATTGTTTTTAATTTGAAACGGAATTTAGTTCTTTCAAAGCAAGCCTCTTTAACAGCTCGGAACAATCCTCATAAAGACCTTTCATCATTTGTACTTTGAGTGCTACGATGTAAACGGTTGCTGTATTTTAATCCAAATCATTCCGTTCCGTTGTTTTTTAACTCCCTGAAAATAACGTATGTTTTTTTTTTTTCTCTTTCTTTTCGGTTTCGTTTTTTCTTTACTTTATTTATCGGCCTTTTCGAATTTCTGGGATATTGGAACACAAAATATTTTATGCTTCACCAAAGGACTTAAAACAATTCATTAAACGAAAAAAACGAAAAAATGAAAATCGTTATCTGCAAATCGTTATTAGATCTTCCATAAAAGTGACATATTCAGAAATTTTCCAAAAATGGTATTAACAAGATTTTTAAATTCTTAAAACTTTGAATTTTTGATCCTGTTCTGAATGATGAAGTTGATCAACAGTTGTCTAACTTCTTCTCTGATTAACATCAAATCAACGAATTAATTTCAGCACAGATCAGAGAGGTATGATTTGCTAAAAACATAAACAGAAAAAACGGAACGAGCTGACCATGATAAGAAGTTCAGAAAGTTAGTGGCACTTTAATTTTTCACTTTTTTTAAATAATTTAAAAATTACTTCTTTGCATTCCGGAAAAACAAATTGAATAGAATTGCAAGCAAAGAAATTGGTCAATATATCCCGAACATTTTATTTCATATTTCATTGGTTTGCTTGTATTGTACATAGTTCTTTCAAATGTTCTTTCATTTTACTGACCGGAACGATTAATGATCAAAATTGTTTTATGTAAATCGTAATATGTTATTGTTTTCTTTTTTTTTATTTTAAATTTTCTTCGTGATTGAACTTTTCATAACAAATAAAACAGTAAGCAATAATTGTTTATACCGTTTTTGTTACAGTATAATTTTCTGTGTATATTATTCGATCTGTAAAAGACTCAGTACATTAAAATATTCGTAGAAAAATTTCATTACGTCAAAAATAAAAGAAGTAAACCTTTTGTACGTGATATGGAAACTTTATAGAATCAATATTGTGTAGCCAATACGAGGAACGTGATTAAAATAAAAATTGAGAAAAAGCCGGCTGGACTTCTGAAGTTTAATTGCTAAATTGAGAATCTATGCCAACCAATAATTTCCTTTACTAAAAATTCAAATCTTTTATAAAAGTCGAAAAAATTATATATTATTGCTGTAGGTAAAACGATTAGAAGGTATATGTGTTACGGATATCTCTGATAATGGAATATTTAAATGCTGCTCATTTCGATCATAGCATTTTAGCATTTCATCAAGCATTGAAATCAATGTATCGAATACCGCAACAAATGCCAGAGGTCCAAAACCATGCGTTAACTATAAGATATATATAAAGTCATAAGTAAATTTTAAATAATAATATTTGAATAATGTAATTAAATAAGAAATAATTTTTGTAAAATTATAAAAAAGATTAATTTTCGCTTTCTAGATGTTATTCATGAAATTAAAAAATATGATTACCAGGGAGAAGTGTGCAAGGCCATATTGCATAGTAGGGGCGGTCAATGAATTCAGATTCGATTGATTACCAAACATTATTCCAGAATATTCACCATTGACAATTCCCAATAATTCTTTGATAAATAATCTGAAAAACACAAATGCATGTAAAGTAAAATTGGTTGCTTTCTTCTCTTTGCAAATCATTCTTTGCTCTTTGAACCTTGTATGCTCGATAAACGTGCAACATTCACGCGGATTATCCTGCCAAATCATTCGATTGCAAATAAATTCAGCAATTTGTCGTACTGGGAATGCTTTCTCACTAAGTGCCGCAAAGTCTTTAGCCATTTGTAATGCCTCCTCTAAAAATTAAGAATATAATTTTAACTTTTTTAACTGATGGTATCGAATACTAAGTTAACTTTCACATAGATATATTGACATTTTTACTAAAATAATAAATTTAAAAACTTACCTTCTACTAAAGCTGTCCATGCTGTAACGGTAGCAGCCTTTCGTCGCCCAGCCGGTAATGTTAATCCAACTCGTTTCAAACTATCGCGCAGAGTTTTTCCGCCATCTTTTGATTTAGCTCTACAAATTTGCAAATTTCGATGTTAAATTCTGATGAAACTTTTTGTCGAAATCTTTTGATTATCTAATTATAATGTTCAAATAATATAGTAGTATCTTTTATGAATTTATAATTTCAATTATTATTCTATCAACTGATTACATTGCTGATGATTAGGACAGAAAGCTAAATTCCTAACTTCTACAGTAACTTTTTTTTGCCAATCACTTTTAGCGAACAATTCCATTAATTTTTATTTATTTTATCATTCTTTTTCATTTTCTACAAACTTTCGTAAAATTCCTCCAAGTAGCGAAGCATTCAAGCATTCTGGTGGTGAGATACGCCTATAAACCTCTCCAATGGTGACGTGATACTTTGTAGTAGAACTGAGCAATGACGTTCGACCAGGTACCGCACAAAACGTTTCCGAAGCAAGCATGGGCATACCATGTAGTGATGGTAATGAGTGACCAAAGTTACCATACATCGTACGACTTAAACCAAAATTGCAAATTGTTGCTGAAATAAAGAAATTAATAACAAGAATTATCTGTACTATTTAATAATTACATAATGTAAAAATTTCAAATGAAATTTGTATTTTAAATTTGTGATGCGAAATTCACTAACGTTTTGAATTGTTGAATGGAGGTCGAATAAACGGTTCAATTGTATTAAGACCCTAAAATACGCTACTTCAAAAATTTTCATAACTAGCAATAACTTAAAAAGCAGTTATTACTAACTGCTTTATCAGTTAGTGAATGATTATGCAAAATAATTGGCACAATAGATCGGTTCAACTTCTGATTTTTACTTTTTTCAAGTCTTTTTTAATTTTTAAATGAAGGAAAATGAACAATTAAATAATACCTGCTGATTTACATTTCGATTCATTATTCCATTTGTTGCTGTGGTGGCTATGGACATACCGTTAACACGTCCATATGAACTTTCGCTACCGCCAATAATATTACCTGGTACTGTACTGCAATTGACCACATAATGTGAACTGATCGGCATGTGTCCAGTATAAAATAACTGTAAAGTAATATGATTAAATGAGTAAGGTAATCTAAAATGTTCAAATTGCATCATTAGGAAAGTACTTATGCCTTTTTAGACTCTAATTACTTTAGAATTTTTTAGAATTTTAAAATTGTACTTGTTGGGAATGATGGTGACAGATGGAATCAGTACCACTTGCAAAGCCGCGTGCAGTATTATTGAAATTAGTTGTAGTATGAAACTGATAACTGATATCAATCTCACCTTCTGGAATGAGAGGTTTCAATGCTTATTTATCAAAAATTTAAATTCAAAAATTAACAAAAGAGAAACGGAGAATAAGAAAAAAAATTACTTTGATTTTCGTTATTTGAATTCCGTAATAAAGATGATATTGTTTGTACTGCATGAGTTCCAGAAAATGTCTGCAATGACTTACAAATTTTTGAAATGTTTTTAATATTGCTGTATCATATGACTTCTCAAAAATTATCCAGTAATTTAATAATTAGGCTTTCAATGATATAATGACTATGCCTGATTAAAATTTGCATTGTTACAAGATTTATCATCTTCTGGTTCTTCAATGGTACTCGAATTGCCATCATCGTCATCTTCATCAAAAAAATTGCTCGCTATATAGTCAAGTTCATCGTTCTCTTCGGATGATGACTGCTTGCTAGAATACTTCCTGGTTTTCATTTCAATATGAAATTCGCTCTTCATTTTAGAGCTAATAAAAAAAAAATAAAAATGAAATTGATTTTATTCGCTGACCGTATTTGTTCCCCTGGAATATCCGAATTGAGTGGCAAATTTCGTTTTCTGGAGCAATGTTTTGCATTGTAATAGTTATCGGAGCATCGATCCAAAAACAAATTACTATGATCTTTGCTGTGATTGCGCTTAGAATCAGAAAAATTGCGATCACCCATTCAGAAAAATTACGTGACGTATTAATGTCCCAATGAAGTCACGTTTTCGTAGTTCACATAGTCGCAACACATATAAAACTAAAATTCTAAAATTTATTGATAGTTTCATAGGCTGAAAATTGTGAAAAAATAAAATGCTATGTGGTGGAATTAACATTTTTCACAACTGCTTCTTCCTATTCTCTCTCGCTGTTGATTGGTTGCGAGCATTAAACTGATACCGTATACACTCTCAAATACTTTAAAATCGATGCAGAAGTTGCAAAAAAACTTGATCAATATCATATAATCAAAGACTAAGAGAGTAATATGGTGGTTTAAATTTCATGGAATCAAAATTTATTTATTATTTGAGTATTTTAGTTGTGTTAACAAATAAATAAGATGCGGTAGTTTATTAATATGTAAATGAATGATAGAGGTGTAAAATAAAATGACATTTGTTGTAGAAGTTTCAGAAGCAGTAAATGGGTTTTGGAAGGAAGAAAACTGAAATCTGAAAGCTGAGTATAAATTTATGCAAAGATGGTGACAACAATTATAAGCTGGACACTCATATAGATTGGGTTAATCTCCCCAGGACGAGAACATCATCGCTTCACTCACTCTTCACAATTAATAAGCAATTTATAAGCTTCTTCTCCCATCTTCTCCAATATTATTTTTCATATTTCAGCAGGCACACTTGCGAAAATCTCCCATCTACGGTAGTTTATTATTAATTTGAAATTATCCACAAATTTAATGAAATTGATTAAAATTTTGGAAAAATTTTTGACTTTAGAAACAAAAGTAAAAAAAATTAAACAAATGCTTATTAATTTTAAACAATATCTCAATAAATTCGAAACATTTGAATAAATTTGAAGGAATTGTTTCTGATTATTGTGATTTGTCTGCTGAATATTTTACCCATCTTTATAAGTGAGAGAAAAAAGTATATTGTAATGCTTTTAAAGCATATTAAATTGTATCTTAAACGAGAAATAATCTAGCACCCCAAATTTCTTTCTCTCTTCACAAACATAATAGAAATTTGAAGAATGAAACTTCATATAGGGAAAGTTAAACAAGATTCAAAAGTTTCCATAACTAAGACAAATAAATAACCTCAAGGACGAGAGTGAGAAGAGAGGAAGAGAATAGATATGCCCAGAAGGGATAATTTTTAAACCTAATTTGTTTGACGATACTGCTGATATGTAGCAAATAATGAAATCTGACAGATCAGTAATTAAGTCTGAGCACATTGTTTATTTCTCCATGCTAGAAATGTATTAATGTAGCTTCAAATTTCAAAAAATCTGAATTTAAAAACAACATTATCACAAATAAATTTAAAGACCATGCGGGACGTGAATGAAATACACTTAACAGTATGGTCCCGGGAACGAGAAGGACTTACTTCCTTTAAACAGTTTATTTGCATTGACAATTACTGAAAATTGGACAGTCCAAGATAACATGTAACTCATCTCGCTTCGCAAACTTATCAACATTAACTGCCAATGAAGATGTATTCACTATCGAGATTTACCGGTCCTGCCAGAGTCAAAACCAATTATTTGCTGTAACAATCATATTATATTGTGTTAAAGATTGCTATCTCCCAGTTGTTCAACTTTAAGTAATTACGTTATTTGATAGAAAACTTTTTGTTGGGCTTTAAAAACTTTTGAAAAAATTCCTAAATTTTTTTTAGCCTTCTATGAAGTAATTTTAATGTCAACGAATGACACTGAATTCTGCTCATTCTTTTCATTTTTTCACAGCGCCTTATTATTTTTATTTGTTCTCAAATTTATTTTATAGCACTTATTTTTATGTATTGTGCATCAAATAATCATATTGATTTTATCAAAAAATGTTCGTAAATGTTTGTTTTCTGCTTTTATCATCAGCATTATACTATTGAAATGACAGATGTTGAAGATGTCGCAGTTGTTATTATGTCTTACATATTTGATCATATCAGAGTAAATAATATTTGGCATTATTAATCATTTTTAGGTTTCAATTGCAGTAAGTTTTCATGAGTGATGCAGAGGTTCTAAAGATGGAAAAATAACAATATATATCTAATTTCTGATCGTTTTTTCGATGGTTTCTGGATATCGCCACCTCAACACGGATTAAAGATTCATTTAAGTGACAGAATGGTAATGATACATTTATAGTGCAAATAAATATGACACCACATTGGAAAAGCAAAAGATAATTCATCTTTTTATTAATGCTGATTTTTAGATTTTTATGCAACTTTTTACTTATCCGATACAATTTTTTTAAATTCATTATTCATACATATATTTTGTCCACTTTTCCAACTTAACATCAAATAATTTCAATTTGAATATATCCTTTCATTAGTTAAAATGTGCATAGCTGAAAAATCGACTAATCGATTTCAATACGATTAGCTAACCTTTGAAATTTCACATACAAGAAGCAGCCAAAAATATACGCACACAATTTATCAGTTCTTCGTGTTTTGCACAAATGTACACACACACACACACACACACCATGCACAAACGTACACACGCACACACAGACATGCACATACATATGAATTTTAAAATATTTCTTTATTCCTATTTTAAATTTACATTTAAGCAATAAAATAAAAAAATTTTGCAGAAAAATTGAAAAATCGAAAAAGAGTTGAAGAAATTGGAAAATTTTGCAGCATCAATGCTTAATAAGTAATGAAGCGGAAATGTATGCTGTCCCCGTGTTCGGTCATCGAAAATCACTTAACATAGTTGATCGAACACATGAATCTCTGTTGCAGTTGCGAACTGGTCTGCACTAACTGTACGCTACCGATTTTCTTTTTATTTCTTGTTTACAAAAGAAATTTAATTCCATTTTTTCTTCAAAATATATTTTATTTATTTTTTTCTGAGATAAGAAGAGGTTCAGATTCATACAAATGCATTTTCTACAGATTTTTTTGAATAGATATCAAGCGAATTATGGACAAAACAACAGACTTTGACATTTTATGAAATACTTTGAGTTCAAATTTTAGAACTTTTACTATCTAAATTTAGCTTATAAATTTTATTTCAAATTGATTCCGAGGAGATGAACAAAAAGAATCCTCAATAATTATCAGAATAGCTTGAATTTACTTTGAAAGCTAATGGTAAATTTTCATAATAGTGATATAACAATCAATTGAATTATCGTACTATTGAATCAAATAAGATGAAGTGTAAAGTAAAGATTGTATTTATTGAGATTCTTTTTTTAGCTTAAAAATTTATAAAAGATTAGAAGTGGTGCTTTTAACATGAAGAGAGTGATTATGATAACATATATGAGCAATTTCTAGTGATTGTAAATTTTGGACGTTTTAAATCAGAACATTTTTATATTTTCTTCAAATAAATTTAATGAGAATAAAAAAAAAGATATTTATCACATCAGTTCGTGATAATTTGTGCAATTATCAATAGTCGAAGTATTTGATTGTTTTTTCTTTTCTTAACCACATTCATTCAAAAAACTGTTCCAATTTATTTATAATGTCAATCGGTGCAATTTTATAATGCGATTAATGAACAGAACGTATCACCGCAATGGAAAAAGGTAATAAGCTGACTCGTTTGTTTTCAGATCAATTATAACATTTTTCCGCATTATTGTTTGAATGATGACCTCATGTAACTTTGCAAAATTTGCTGACCTTTGTAATTCGGAACTATTCATTTTAATTGCACTACTCCATTTCCAGTGTCAAAGATCAGCTTCACATACTAACCACGAAAATATTATAACATTTCACAAATTTATGAGTAGACGAAAACGATTTCTTACAAAAGGTACAGGCGTAACAGTAAAAAATTAAATAGATAAAATTGAAACTTCAGTGAGCAACTTTACTTCTTAAATTTTAAAATTTTCAAAATTATTTTCAACACGAACCTTCTTCTTTTTTTAAAATTTAGCTCAAATTTTGGCCACGATGTTTTAATTAAAAATGAAAGTTCTAGTTCAAAGACCGACAATTATCATTATATTTAAATAAATGTCAAATACTTTTATTTAAAAAGAAATGATATATTTTTTTCATTGATAGTTACCAACAGGCTTTATTTTAGAATAGAAATTCGGGAGATGGTAAATCTTTGAACGCCCTTAATCAATATGTTCCTCTTTGCTTTGCTCTAATAATATGATGATGTGATTATCAAAGAACAATAGGATCGATGACATTTCGGGAAATAAGGCGGAAGTGTCATGTCAGTTTTACAGAGATATAAATGAATATTTTATTATTCTTTATTTATAAATGAATATTTTATTATTTTTCATTCATATTTTCAAAATTAACATCAGACCGACTAATATCACTCAAATTAATTCTTTTAATCATCGGGACGTTTGACTATTCAATATAATACCTTTTGAATGACAAATATCTAATCGATATACAGTCAATTACGACGACCGATGTGTGGTTAAATATCGATCTTACTGATAACAACTAATTGTAAAATTATTCTAATGGTCTTAATGCTTTCGTCACTGATTAATTAAAATAATTCAGCATAATTAGTTTTAGCAATCAATTTAGAGCTATATTTTTTCAATCTATCCAAAGATTCTTCTTATTATTCTTGTTAAATTTAGACTGAAATTAGAATTATCATTTGATGTACACTATTGAATTTACTATTTTTTGTAGGAACGGAAGCATTATTCTTTCTTGCTATTATTCTTTTGCTTTCTAATAGTATGGCGGCATATATTAAAAGCAAAAATAAGATGATGGAGTTTGATGATTGTATCAAAAAAATTAATTTTTATTCTGCTTCACAACAGGTTTTTCCATTTTCTTTTTTCTTTTTAGGATTAATTGAATTTTGCATAAATAATTGTAAAATACATTGGAAAAAATTAGAATCGATCTTTACGTTTCCTTTTCTAAAAAAACGCTTATACATAGATTTTACGAAAATTTTTTTTCATTATTTATTTACTGCTTTTTT